TCTGCTAGTGTCCTGTGAGCCAGACCTGCGGGTGGTCAGCAGTGTCCAATTTTCAACTGAATCCCCAGTTTGGGTTTTATTATATTCTTTCTCCAGGCACCCTTATTGCAACAAATAAAGGGGTGGGGTGGTGGGGGGGGGTAGCAGTTAGAAAGGGTTTTAGGAAAATAGTGTTATGTTTAAAAAGAAAATTGATTTCAAGGAAAATGTGCAGGTAAGTTGCAGGGAGAGGTCCTGTGCTAAGAACTAGGGTTTGGAAAGAGAGCTAGGGTTTTAGAGGTCAAGAGTGTCTACCACCAGCCTGCTTTCCTTTCAGATTTTGGGGTTTCTCCAGGCTTTCCTCAGTCACAGTACTCTAAAAGCAACGGCCCCCAAACTCCATATCCTGCTGGCCACCCACACCCCTTTTTCCAGATGCACAAATCCAAGGTGCAGTCAATTGCAGAGGCTTAGTGGAAAGAATGGAGTCCCAACGCCGCCACTGGAGAGGAGCAGGCATTGGGAGCGACGTGCTGCCAGCTCTCAGCACACGACAGGTGCTTCTTGGAGTAAGAAGGGCCTGCAAAGCAGTTTGGCTCAGCACCCAGGACCTCCTCCTCAGGAAGCTGAACCTGGGAAGGGTGTGTGTCTTTGGTTTCTGAGACAAACGAGGGCAGTGGTAGACTTGTCCGAGGGCACAGACTCGTAATGATCAGAGGAGTCCTTACTCTGTACACCCTTCTCAGTCCTGTCTCTCTCTCTTCATCTATAAAGCTAACTCCATAGATCTCTTTTCTATTTTTATTTTTTACTGGAGTAAATGTAGCAAAGTTAACCATTAACAAATATAGGAGAGTAATTCAGCACCTTTTAGTAGAGTCACAGTCTTTACAGCCATCATCACTATCTAGTTCTGGAACTGTTCCATCGCCCCAAACAGAGACCCTGCACCCATTAAATTCTCACTTCCTATTCACTTTCCTCCAGCTGCTGCCAACCTATAATCTCTCTCTCTCTCTCTCTCTCTCTCTCCCTCTCTCCCTCTCTCTCTCTCCTCTATTCTCCATCTCCTCCCTCTCCAACTTCTCCTTCTTCTTCTCCTTCTCCTCTTCTTCTTTTCCCCCCACCCCTATCTTTGGATTTACCTATTCTTAAAATTTCATAGCAATAAAATCATATAACATGTGGCATTTTATGTCCAGACTCTCTCTTAGCATAATGAACATGGTGCGTGCACGATTTCACCCCTCTCTGGCTGAATGATGCTGGATCTATGTACATACCCATTCCTCTAGTGATGGACATTTGAACTGTGTCCACCTCTGGGCTGTTGTGAGTAGTGCTGCTGTGAATGTGTGTCCATGTATTTGTTTGAGTCTCTGCTTTCAGTTCTTTGGGGCACATGCCTAGGCGTGGAATTGCTATGTCATAGGATAATCTTGTGCTTCACCCTTCAAGGAATCCATAATCCTTAAAGGCCATCCCAAGACTGAGGGTTAAGAGTCCTATCCCTGGCTTCTTCCCCATCAGCTCCCACTGTAGCCAGTGCTTGCCTGTCTCACAAGCTCTCAGTAACCTTGGCATCTCAAAGACACGCCCTTGAGGAGCCTCCAGAGGGGCTCATCGACAGAGATCAACTAGGCATCATTGCTGGGGATCACGCTTCCTGCAACCCCTTATGATTTCCTGTCCCCCCATCCTCACTACGCCAGGATCCTTAGCTGCCTCACATCTTATTCTGAGCATTGCCTCGTGCCTGGCCTCTCCTTCTTTGGTTTCCATGATCTCCTGAACTTGGACAGTGTAGTTTCGGATGACAGCTCCTTGACATCACAAGTCTGGCCAGAATGAATCTGTCCCCTTAGCACCTTGCTCCTACCAGCCAAATAGGCACGGTTCCATTCTGTCTTCAAAAGCATTGTTGACAGTGAACTGGGAGTCTTTTATATACTTATCTTGCAAGGTTATTTTAAGAACTGAATGAAAGGATGGATAAAGCAGCCTAGTACATTAAATTCTCCCATTTTTTTCTCCCATCATAGTCCCCTGCCACTAAATTATTAGCTTCATAAAGAGAGCAGTACATTATCTATCTTCCTTTCTCCTGTATCTAAGAGATACAGTTCCTTGACTATGACTGGTGACTGATTAACTTTTGTTGACTGGATTAGTAGGAGAGAGGAAGTGAATGAACAAAATTAGCTCTTCTAATGATTTGAGATATATTTTGTGAAGAATTCATGTCTGGTGGGGATAATGTTTTGTTATGAGGCCGATTTCAACTGCAGGCCACCAAAATGTCACGTCACTGAGATATATTTTCCAGTGTGACACTTTGTAATTGAAAATGTGTGGGAGTGGCTTCGCTTCTGCAGAATGTTCCAATGCCGATCTTCGAGTTCTCTGAGATTCTTGAATTTTCAAACACATCTAATGGAAATTGAATTGTGAGGATTCTCAGTTTTCCTGTTTGAGCCAAACAGTTGTAAGTAAGAGGCAGTGACTGCTCTTTCTATGTACTCTGTACTAAATTAACAGGCTGGCACTGAGTCGGATATGCCAGAATAGATTTTTTTAAAAATCTATTAAATTGTCAAGAAACGAGTGTGGTTTATTGATTAGTTTATGTTCACATTTTCTGAGCCCACCCTTTCCCAAAAAGAAATCTTTCTGGTGAAAAGCAATAAAATTTGTTCTCTGAATGATATCATTTTTTACTCCTTAAGCCCTGTATCTATATCTAGATTAAAACTGAATATAGCTGCCAGGGATTTAGCTCAGTGGTTCCGCCCCCTGCCTCAAAAGTGGAAGGACCCAAGTTCGATCCCTGGTACCAAAAAAACCAACAAACTGAATTTAACTGATGTAGTATAGTGAGTAAAACCTAGGTCTTTGGGGCATCACAGTCCCAGGCAACCCTATGGCCAAGCCCACTGCATCCCCCTTTTGCCGATCCTTTCCCGGCCTCTGAGGTGGGAAAATGCCCTCTCTGCTGGACAGCTGGGCAAATCAGGGAGACAACACACCCTTCAGAACACCTCCCCCAGGAACCTCTACCCAGGAGGAAGCAGGGAGGTAAGGTCTCCCTAGTGCACAGCACAGCTGATTCTGGGATCCAGTCCTCCACCAGGAGAGAAGACACTGTAGCAGAAACATCTGCTGTCCCAGAAGTCTTTATCTTGAGCTTCCCTGCAGGGCTTTACTCAGCCTGCAGTGCAGAGTGAGACAGACATTGTTACTCTATGCAACCAAGATCTGGGGGTGATCAGGTACTCTAACCATGGCATTAGCAGGTACTCTGCTTGGAAGCTACAGAAATCCACTCCAGCTGGTGCAAACAAGTTAAAAAGGGCTGGGGATTTAGCTCAGTGGTTTCACCGCCTGCTGCATAAGCGCAAGAACCCGAGTTCGATCCCTGGTACCCAAAAAGAAAAAAAAAGAAAACAAGTTAAAAAAAAAACAAAACCTGGATTGCAGAGGAGTCTCTGGACTTTCTTACAAAGGCACTGTTAGTATAGGAATACTTTTCCTTTATTCCTGGTGTTTCCTTCCGTGGGGAAGGACATCTGTGAACCTAACACTGCTGGCTCTCTGCACTCCCAGAAGGGAGTTGGGTTTGCCCCAGCAGCTTCCTGCCTCAAGTGATCGCCAACATGTTTGCTGTGAAGTTTCCCCTGCCTGCATCATCTCAGCCTGCAAGGCAGAGGCTTGTTGATGTGGCAGTTGATTATCCCTTGGCATCAAAAGGATTAAAAACCTTCAACAGCAAAATTCCCCATTAAAGCAATCCAGCCCTGTGTGTACAAAGCAGTCATAAGACAATACACTAACACTGACCAAAAACAGCATAAATAAAAATAAATCTGTAATATAAAACCCATTCATTCCTCCCAGTGAGAAGGGGGCTTTTCTGTGAGTCAGAAGTAAATGACCTTGACATATTGTAACTTTAAAATGTATAACTTTAGGCACAATGTGGGTATTTCTAGGAGATTAACAAGGAACAAGATGCCCTAGAAAGTACATTACTTTTCTTTTTTTGGTACCAGGGATCGAACTCCAGTCCTTGTGCTTTTGGGGCAGGCAACAGAACCACTGAGCTAAATCCCCGGCCAGAAAGTACGTTTCTGAGATAGCCGCATTTACTAACGCAGGCCCTTTCCCAGCCTTTAGTTCCCCTCTTCCAGAGGATCCCTCTCACGGCGTACTCAGATCTGAACAAAGACTTGTCTTTTCTTACTCCAATCATAGTAAATTCACTGGCCCTCATATATCCATCTCCCTGGGCATTTTCCTGGCTTGTGAGAGATCTCAAGCCAGCTCCATCCACTATGTTTTCTCATCTAAAATCATTTTATCCAGGAATGTGGTAAGGATCAAATGAGAAAGCATGTGGATTTAAGTATATATTCAGCACAACATATGCTTTGATTAAAAAATGAATATTCAGAGTTGGGTGTGGTGGCACACACCTGTAATCCAGAGCACACTCTGGGAAGTTGAGGCAGGAGGATTGCGAGTTCCATCCTAGCCTGGGCAACTTAGCGACTTAGTGAGACTCTGTCTCAAAATAAAAACTGAAAAAGGAGCCGGGAATGTAACTCAAGGCAAGGTCCCTAGGTTCAATCCTCAGTATGGCAAAAAGAAAGAGTAAAATATTGAGCCAGGTGGTACACACCAATAATACCAGCACTTGAGAGACTGAAGCAGAAGGATCATAAGTTCAAAGCAGGGCTGGGGATTTAGCTCAGTGGTTCCACCACCTGCCTCACAAGTGCAAGGTCCTGAGTTCGATCCCCGGTACAAAAATAAAAGTTCAAAGCCAACCTGAGATGCATTACAAGTTCATGGCCAGTGTGGGCTACATGGTGAGACCCTGTCTCAAAAGCAAAACAAAAGAAAAAAGTGACTATAAAAGCAAAGGATTTGAGGTCGGAAGAACTTCCCCACGAGGTGGGAAATGGTGGGGTAAAATCTATGGGCCACAGAGGCGACCTAACCGTGCTTGTGTTCTCTTTCAGGGTGGCAGCGAGTGGAGGGGCCCCTGTTCCCGACAGAGGGATCATGGCCTTCATGTTGCTCCCCCGGCGTCTGGCCTGTAGCTCTTGGCACAGCCACCTCCTGCTTGCATCTGGTAAGCCCCATGGGAAGAGGTCTTAGTTAGACCTGGTTCTGTGGAGACACAGCCCAGACTAGGGATTTCTGGGCTGGAGAGTTCTTGAGGATAAAGGGACCTAGCAGCCAGGGTTTCTGGGTGTTACTTCCTGCCCCCTGATAAAACCATCACCATCCACCCCTTCCCCACCTCTTCCTGCTCTGGGGTGGTGGCTCCACATCCAGAAGGGTCCAGGGCATGAGGGAGTGGCACATAACTGTGGTGCTGCCAAAGGAAAAGAAAATCACAAAAGTGTGTACACACAGTCCTGACTTACGATGCTTTGACTTAGGACTTTTTGATTTTACAATGGAGTTAAAGCACTACACATTCAGTAGAAACTGTACTTTGAATTTCAACCTTTCATATGCTATTTGGGCTAGCATGGTACAATACCGTTGTGATGCTAGGCAGGGGCAGCAGCGAGCCATGGTTCCTGGTCAGAAATCGATGACCTGTTGCCATGGCAACCCCATTATCCAGCCATTCATTTGAGTTCAGCATTTCCAACACTCTGGAGGCTCCATGTGCTATTGGCTGTGTGTATTAATGGAGAGCAGCATTCAACCATCACCTTCAGGACAGGATTCCTTAAATTACAGGAGACAGTCAACACTTGATCAAAAAAATCAACTTTGTGCTAGGAAATGTTACCTAAGTGTAGGCTGATTTAAGGGTTCTGTGCATGTTGAAGATAGGCAAGGTATGTTATGATGGTCAGTAGTGTATTATTAGCCAGCTTTGCATTACTACAACAAAATACCTGAGATAGCCAACATAAGAAGTAGAGAGAGCTTTGTCTAGCTCCTAGCTTTGGAGCTTCAGAGTCCAAGATGGCAAGGCAGGGGCACTGACTTGGCCTCTGTGAATAGCAGCAGTGGGAAAGAGGGTCAGAGTGGGTTGTCACACCTCAAACCAGGAGGGGGAGAGAGAGAGAGAATGGAGAGGGTCACACAGTCCCTCTTGAGACCCCCAATAACCTAAAGACCTCCCATAGGGCCCCACCTAAAAGGCTCCACCACCTCCCAGTGTCACCACCCTGAAGCCCCAGCCTTTATCACATGGACCTCTGGGGGATCCTCATCCACACGTTAGCAGGTAAATTAGGTGGATTAAGTGCACTTTCAACCTCTAACGCTTTCAGTTCGCAATGGGTTTGTTGGGATGTGACTCCATCATAATTCAAGGCTGTAACTGACCTAACCAAATGTGCTTTAAAGGCATCGGTCAGGAGGCACCATGCCAGGATCCCACCCTCACTACCTTCTCTCTCACCTCCCCGCCTAACTGGCCACCAGTATCAGCTCCTTCTTCCCCGTGGCCTCTCAGATGCTTCTATTTTTCTCTGCCTCTCATGGGAAAGACAGCCACCAATAGGAGCCTCCCTTTGGACACCCAGAAATTGGCCTCCTACAGAGGCAGAAAGAGCCATGGCACTGGCTGGCCATGAAGTAGGTTCAGAAAGACCAGCGGCCACCAGTCTCTCCCCAGTGCTCCTCATGGTGTCCCCTTCCTGTCTGTCCTGTCTTCTGAAGACAAGCTACTCCTGTGTCCTTGGCCTGCATGTTGAACACTGGGTTTTATATCCTGGATAGGGTAAAGAGAGGAGTGATGGTTTCTCTCATGAGAGTACTGGCAGGCTTTATTTTAGAATATTTTAGAATAATTTCAACATTTACAGAAGTTCCAGAAATAGTACTGAGAGACCCTGCACGGCCCTCATCCAGGCTCCCCCGGTTGTTAACCTCACATATCACAAGGATGTATTCATCAAAACAAGAACCTGACTTGGCACACGGCAGCTGCCTGAACTCCATACTTCTGTTGAGATTTCTCCAGTTTCCCTAACGCTTTCTTCAACCCCAGGATCCAGTCCACACTCCTACATTGCAGTTAGTTGTCATGCATGTTAGACACAGGCTACTTACAAAGTGAAGAGGTTTACTTGGCTCACAGTTCTGGACAGTGAAAATCCAAACCACAGAGTGCAGGCTTTAGCGAAGCCTTCGTGGGAGATGGTGGTTGGTGGATTACAATGGCAAGAGCTTGGTTTGAGCAGTCACGTCATAAGCTAGGAATCAGGTGTCTGCTAGCTAGTTTTGAAGTTTTTACTTCCCCCTTTTGTTGTAAAGGAGAGAGATCTGCACTGATGAAGAGCTGTAGTTATTGGACATACACCTCTGTTTTATGCAGGCCTCATTGGAATTGATGTTGTGTGCTAACCTGGAATTCTGGCCAGGGAAGAGATAAACAATTTAGTGTAAAAAGGGGATTGGTGTGTACCATGACCTTTCACTCTTCCAGTAGTAAACTGTCTAGGAATTCCCTTTTCAAGATCAAACAGAAGAAAATAAAAGCTGCTTTTTTCATGCTTAAAGAGTGAAGTGCTATATTTTAACTGGACTTTAGGTTCAAAAGGCCAAGTTGTATGATTAATTCAGAAGCCTTTGATATCCAAAGGCATTGCAGAAAATTAGGAAAGTGAATTTAAATGTCTTCTAATACCATGGCTTTGTATTGTTTGATGAGCTGTGTGTGTGTGTGTGTGCGCGTGCATATTATATGGCACTCTTTTTATTTATTTATTTATTTATTTATTTATTTATTTTGGGGGGATTGAACTCAGGTCCTTGTGCTTGTGCAGCAGGCATCGAAACCACTGAGCTAAATCCCTGGCCCTATGGCACTCTTTTTTTTTTTTTACAGTACTTGGCCTTGAACCCAGGGCCTCATATATGTTAAGCAAATGCTCTACCATTGAACCATACCCCTGACCCTTTCTAAATTCTCTGAGCCTTAGTTTCTTCTGTTGTGTAATGGAGATAGATAGGCAGATAGACTGATGATATAGAAGTAGCACACATATCTATGTATATACATAGAGCTGGACTGGATAACCCATGTGATTTATCTGAGGTGTCTCCTGAGTTCCTTGTTGGACACAGTTCCAGCAAGACAGCATCCCCAGTAAGAGGAGCAACACTCTCCAGCTAGCGAGCATGTACAGCCATGCCTTGGTTCACCAACACTTTTGTTTTTTGAACGACTTGGTTTGCAAACAGAAACATAACAGAAGCATTTAGCAACATTTTGTTTTTGTTTGCAAACTCTGCATCAGGTGATAAACATGACCGTAGTGCTCTTTCCCACATGAACACGAACATGGCCATCTTTTCCAGAATCATAGAAAAAATTAAGTTCGTGAACTGAAACACCCCTCTAGCAGGAAGGTAAAAAGAAGCCATGAGCAAGAGGAACTTCCACGTCCTCCTGACCCACACACCTTGGGTCTCCCCGGCTGTTCTTCCCTCAGGTGGACCAAGGCAGTCTTGAGGTCCCTCTCTCTGTTCAGCTATACACTGAGCTCAGACTCCTAGTGGGATTAGCCTGAGAATTTATACACCTTCCCTAAGTTTATCACTGTGGGCAACATGACTTTCCAACAAATGACTTGTGACCAGAACTGGGGTTTAAAACAAACAAACAAAACCTCTACTAAGTAGGGACTACCTTAATTTAGAAATTTGATTATGCCCTCTCGCGTGTGGTTTGTTTCTTGTTTCTAAGATGCGGTCTCACTCAGTTGCCCAGACTGTCCTCAAATTTGCAATCCTATTCACCTGCCTCAGCCTTCTGAGTAGCCAGGATTACAGTCATGTATTGCCACCCTCTTTCTCCTTTGTGATTATTAAAAAGCAACACTTGGTCAGCCCAAAGAGCTCCCTGTTCCCTCTCCTGCCCCCATGTCATCTCAGTACCAAGAGAAACACAGACATGCTTCTTAGTTTCAGAGTGCTTATAACAAGAAACATGAGGCTATTGTGGTAAACATCTGTCATCTCAGCACTTTGGGAGGCTGAGGTGGGAAAACCCAAAGTTGGAGCCAGCCTGGGCAACTTAGTGGCTTTACTGAGACCCTGTCTCAAAATATTATAGGAGGGGGAGCTCAGTGCAAAGGCCCTTGGTTCAGTCCCCAGTACTACAAAGAACAAAATCACAAGAAGCATTATTCTGTAAATTGGGGGTTCTCAAACTTCATTTTACTTTGGATTCATGGAGTTTTTTGCTTTTGTTTTTGAGGCAGCATCTCACGATGTTGCTCAGGTTAATCTTGAACTCCTGGCCTCAAAGTGATCTTCCTACCTCAGCCTCCTGAAGAGCTAGGGTTAGAGGCCTGGCTTCTCTCCTAGGTGATTTGAATTGTCACAACTGGGATTATAGCTGGGGACAGGTACACGGAGCCCAAAGATGCTGCTACACATCCTACAATGCACAGGACAACAAAGGGTTATCCAGTCCAAGATGTCAACAGTATCATGGTTGAGAAACTCTAGCTACACATACATTTGGATTACAGTTGGACTAAATTGTTATAAAATTGGGGTAATTTTTATAATTTGGTCTTTTATATGCTAATACTATAGACATCTTCCCATCTCCATAAATATTCAAAATTTCTGTCTCAAAACAATGGGCGTGTAATACCCCAGGAAATAGTTGGCTAGGTCATGTTTTGCTCAGCTGCTCACCAGCGTTAGACATGTCGGTTGTTTCCCTTTGTTGTTACGGACAGTACTATGATGGATATTTTTTACCTACATCTTTGTGTGTTGGTATTGAGGGCTGATCAGACCCTCAGCTACCTTTGGCAGAGGGATGACAGGAATAAAAGAAAGAGACAGAGACAATTTTCAAGATATAAAGGGGGGACTGTGAGGAGACCTGCTTCTAGCAGACAGACTCAAATAAAACTCCACAGTTGGTCCACTTTTATTAGCCAGTGAGAACCTTGAGGGGAGGGAAAGCACGCAATTCATGGAACAGCAACTATAGAGAATGGGTGGCTAAGGATTAAATTAATTAGGAACCAGATTTTCTCTACACCCAAATATATTGACAGTTGTCCTCAGCAGATGCTGTCTTGCCTCAGGAGTGCTGGGTTATCGGCATTCTCCCCATAGCCAGGAGGCATGTGGCCTTCTGCACCCTTCCCTGTTCCAAGGCAAGATAACACTGACCTCAAGACTGTGATGTCTGAGTTACGTTGCCTAGTCCTCAACATGTTGGTCCCATTATTTTCTTAAGATGAATCCTTAAAAGTGAAAGTGCTGGGTGGGGGATTTAGCTCCGTGGCGCCACACCTTCCTTGAAAGCATAAGATCCTGAGTTCGATCCCCAGCACCAAAAAAAAAAAAAAAAGAAAGTGCTCAGAAGGAAGGACTGGGAGATCAGCACTGGCTTAGCCTCACTGCCCTGAGACAGGAGCATGCCTGTTTGTGTGTAACTTCAAGACACTAGCTTTTCTTATTTTGTAAACCTGCACTATCCTTGTAGCACCCAGATCTGTCCATACACAGGGCTCTGGGGCCGCCTGGCCAGAACAAGGCTGACGTCCTGCAGCCCCTCTGTTAGGAACTTTGAGTACCTGTTAGGGTGGGTGCTCTTTGTGCCTGTTCTAGGGCTCCTTATGGTCTTCATTTACTGCAGGATCCCGACACATCGGTCAAGCTGCAGCCAAAATCGATCTTGAGTTTGACTATGATGGGCCCCTGATGAAGACAGAAGTCCCAGGTCCTAGATCTCTGGTGAGTCGAGGGCACCTGAGCAGTTTGTTTCCTAAAGAAGAAATAAGGACCCTGGAGGCCAGAGCACAACTGAGCTTAGGGACTGGTATTGTGAGCTGCTTTCCAAGGGTTTCCTGCTAGAGATAAGGTGTTACAACTAACTAGGCCATTCTGCAAGGAGGGAGAGAAGGCTTCAAGAGATGTGTCCTTATCTGTCGTCACAATAGTGCTGCATTGCAGAGCCTCCCAGCACAGGTCCTTCTGCTTGCCCTGCATTTAGGGCTCACTGGGGGCTGGTGCAGCTCTGTTGGACTCACCTGTGCACCTGGGGGACAGCTGCCTATCGCTGATGTGGGTTAGGCTCACCTCGGATCACTGTAGTGACCCAGCTCTGCTCCACATGCCTCTTGCCCTCTAGCAGGCGGAACTGGCTCATTCTCGGCCTGCCATAGGTTGCTGGAGGCCTGGGCTCCACAATGGCTCCTAGCAGCTCCAGCTCACTCTGCCACCCAGTGCAAGTCCACAGCCAGGGCCTGGGGCAGGACGTCCTCCCACAGGACACTGTAATACAGGGCCTGGATGTCAAATGCCTTCACCTTGATCTTGAGGATAAGGAGATGAGGCTAATGAAGGAAGGCTTCTGTTCCAGGCAAGAGGCTAGTGTAAACCTTCTTAATGCAATTTTGTTTAGTTTTGGTTTTTGCAGATTTTATTTTCTGGTCCTGGCCATCAAACTCAGGGGTACTTTACCACTGAGCTACATCCCCAGCCCTGTTTTATTTCTTTTTTCTTTTCTTTTTTTTTTTTGGTACCAAGGATCAAACTCAGGTCCTTGTGCTTGCACAGCAGGAGGTGAAACCACTGAGCTAAATCCCTGGCCCTCCCTGTTTTATTCCTAAGTGGCCCAGGCTGGCCTTGAAATTGTGATCCTCCTGTCTCAGCCTCCTGAGTAACTGGGATTACAGGTGTGCACCACCAGACCTGGCTTCATTTTGCAGATTTTATCCAGTGTCTTTTTTTTTTTTTTTTACTGTCAAAAGATACTTCTTTTGTCATTGCAACCAGTTTGTAAATTCAGTAATCTTGGTACTAATGTAAATGATGAGCTGTTTTGGATAGTGTTTTTCTAACAAAGACTTTCCTTGCACATTTCTATGTAAGGTCAGGTCACAATTTAATAGTAAAATATTGGAATAACTTTCATATCCCTGTCATTAATTATCATTTTATATTTTTTCTACAGAAATATATAATCTTATGACACTAATTGCTAAAGTTTATTTTATGTTGAGTTATTTTTGGAGCTGAACGCTTTGTGATTTCAGAACAAAGAGTGCCTAATTCTCAGTTTTTGTACAGAATTGCAGTTTATACAATGTTTGGATTGTAATTATAAATGGTTCTTCAATATGCAAACTTTTTCAGTTGATTATATATATATTTTTTGTAGCAGAGATCGAACTTAGGACCTTGCACTTGTGAGGCAGGTGTGGTTCCACTGAGCTAAATCCTGGCCCCTATATTTTCTATTCTTAATGAAGAATGAAAGCCTTTTATTTATTTATTTATTTTTTTTTGAGATAGGGTCTCACTATACAGTCCAGGCTGGCCTTGAACTCACTGTGTAGCCCAGGATGGCCTCAAACTTGTGATGATCCTCCTGCCTCAGCCTCTTGAGTGCTGGGATTACAGGTGTGTGCCACCATATCTGGCTAAACACTTTTTTTTTTTTTTTTAATAAAAAGTGAGCCCATTTTTTTCTTTTTTTTGAACCAGGGATCGAACTCGGGACCTTGCGCTTGCAAGGCAGGCAATGGAACCACTGAGCTAAATCCCCAGCCCGAGCCCATATTTTTAATAGGCACTACATAAGCACTTTCAGCTTAATTTCTTTTATTAAATGTGTAGTTTATCTTCCAAGTATCTAAATCTTCACTCTGTCTGTTGTAATTTGACCGTGTGATGAAATATTTTCCTGCCAACTATTTATATTAAGTAATTTTAAAATATTTATAATATTGTTGACTAATAAACTAGCAAGGTATTGGCAAGAGAGGAAAAAACGTTCAAAGAGTTAGGGAAGCATGAAAGACCTTCAAGCTGTTTTGGCCAGAGTGTGTCATAGCCATAATGCTTTTGTTCTTCTCACCCACAGGAATTAATGAAACAGTTGAATATGATTCAGGTGAGTGAAATGAGAACATTTCTTTTGTTGCTTCTTTATTACATTTTAGCTAAGGTACACTTGCTGTGCCAGCCCTTTAAAAAAATGCAGTTTGACTTTGTTTGAAATCTCTTCTAGTTTCCCCTGTGATTTCTTCTTTGGCCTATCACTATCTACATGTTGTTTAATTTCCACAGTTTTGTGAATTTCCCCAGTTTCTTTCTGTTATCGCTTCTAGTTTCATTTCATTGTGACTAGAAAACATTTTGTGTGATTTCAGTCCTTTCAAATTCATTGAGCCCTGTTTATGACCTGCCATCTGGTCCATCCTGAGAACCTTCCATCTGCACTTGAGAAGAATTACTATTCTGCTGTTGTGGGGTGGAGTATTCTGCAGATGCTTGTCAGATAGTTGCATTTAGAGTGGTGTTCAAGTCTTCTATTTCCTCACTAATTTCTGGCTTAGTTGTCTTATCCATTATTGAATGTCAGTATTGAAGTCACAAACTATTAAGGTAGAACTATTTTCCCCTTCCATTTTTCCCCTTCCACACCATTTTTGCTTTGTGTATTTTGGGGCCCTGTCATTAGTTGGAAATAGGTTTATAATTATTATATCTTCCTAGTGGATTATGCTTTGTCATTACAAGATGTTTCTCTTTAGTTTTTTGCTTTATTTTGTTTGTTTTTTGGTCTATTCTGATACTAATATAAGCCCCTCTAACTTTCCAATGGTTGCTTTGTATATCAAATATCATTTTCTATTCTCTTTCTTTCTTTTCTCTCCCAATCTCAGACCAGTCTCAAAGATGCAGGCTCCTGCCTCAGCCTCCCAGAGTGCTAGGATTACAAGTATCCATTACCACATTGGCTTTTTTTCCATCCTTTTACTTTCAACCTATTTGTATTCCTGATCTAAAGTGGTGTGTTTCCTATGAATACCATGTAGTTGGTTCTTTTTATTCAATCTGACAATCTTTGGCTTTTTATTGGATTGTTTAATTGGTTTGCAGTTAATGTTATTATTGATAGGATTGAATTTATGTTTGCAGTTTAATTTTTTGTTTTTCCTGTCTTGTATCTTTTTTGTTCTTCTGTTTTGGTTTTTATGTGTTCAGGTTTTTGTGCATTAAATGAATATTTTCTAGTGCAGAATCTTCATTTCTTTAATAATTACTACTTATTTCTAGTTTTCTTAGCATCTGCTCAAACACGTCTGACATATATCTTAACTTACCAGAATCTATTTAGACTTATATCTCAAGCTTTGCAATATATGGAGCATATACAAAAAAATTTACAAAATACAAAATTCACAGTTTAGTGAACTGTTATATAGTGAGCCACTCATGGCATTGCTCCCAGGGCAAGAACTGTCATGTTGCTGGTGCCCACAGTGACCCCCACAGGTCCACAGCGAGGGGAGGTCCTCGTTTATTCTGCCAACTGGAGCTTATTCCTAAGGGATGGAGGAGCCAAGGGGTTGCAGTGAACCTGAGTCAGTCTCTCTTTCCCCAAGAATGCAGAGGCCGTACATTTTTTCTGCAACTATGAAGAGAGCCGAGGCAACTACCTGGTCGACGTGGATGGTAACCGCATGCTGGATCTTTACTCCCAGATCGCCTCTGTCCCCATTGGTAAGAGCTGGAAAACTGGTTCTGGTCTCTCTTTTTCTCTCTCTCTGTCTCCTCCCTCCTCCTTGGCTGTCAGGCTTTAGACATGCCTCAAAATAGCACCTCTCTGTATGTTGCCAGACACCTGCCTGAAGGTCACAAGAAAGAGTAGTGTGGTGTAGAGCAGGGGTCCCCAAGCCCCAGGTCCTGGGCCACACAGCTGGAGGTGAGCGAGGCTCCCTCTGCATTTACAGCCATTCCCCATCACTCACATTACTGCCTGAGTCCACTCCTGTCGGATCAGCAGTGGCTTAGATTCTCATAGGAGCGTGAATCAGCTGTGAACTGCACATGTGAGGGATCTCGCCCGTGTACTCCTTGTGAGAACTGATGCTAAAACTGTCCACCACCACTTCCCCCATCAGTGGAAAAATTATCTTCTATAAAACTGGTCCCTGGTGCCAGAAAGGCTAGGGACTTCCAGTGTAGAGTATATTATTAGGCATATGACACGTCTTCTCTCATTTACCCAAAACCTTAAAGGATGGGTACATGTTCGCATCCCTATTTTGCAGGGAGGTAGAGAAAGCCTGAAGAGGTTAGTAGGATGCAGAGGAATTAAAGCTCGTTTTGAACCCAGTTCCATGTGACCATGGTATCCACCATGTAGGGTTTGAGGCTGTGTTCCCAGAAGAGCCTGAGGCTAGGATTCTTGTCCATGTTGTCTGTTGGAGAAGAGCACTCAGGAGAAAGGAGGGAAGAGAAAGAGTTGGGGAAGGAGCAGAAAGAATGAGGGCTCTGCTGGAGACTGTCCCAGCTTGATCCCACGGGGGACTCTGGAGGATGGAACTGTACCCCTGTGCCAGCCCACCAGGGCCAATCCGTGCCAGAGGGGAGGGCCTGGCAAAGTGGCTGCCATGCAGTAAGGGCAGTTTTCTGGAAGAGGAGGCAGCTGGAGCTGTCATCAGCTGAAACACACAGCAGCTGGCAGATAGATGGGTGACCTGCCCAGGAGAAGCCACCTCAGTGGCAATGCCAACAGCAACCCAGGCTCTCCTCCTGACCATACAAAGTGATGCAGAGGACAGAATAGACAGGGCTAGTTTGGAAATGTGGGAGCTGTTGTTTGCTGTTTGGCTGGTTAATGTTCTTCGGGTTGATGGACTCCCGGCTGTGTTCAGCGGCTTTGGGCTGTGTGTGATGAAGCGGGTCCTTCCTTCGCAGACGCAGCTGCTGGTCTGCCACAGAGGAGATGGGTTGTCGTGCACTACCCATCAGCAGCAACCCCCTGCCCTGTCAGCAGTGTGGGCCAGTTCCCCTGAGGCCCAGCCTTAGGGCTTCCCTTCTCTCCCTCCCAACCTATTTCTTCAAACCTATCTATTCCCCATTAAGATGTGATCAGAAACTGAGCGGATGATTCATTCTCGAGGGAGATCCGTCATTCAGAGATGTCTGGGTCTTTGCAGGCACTTGAAAATCAAAGAGTTAGAAAACCTCACCTCCCCTTCGTGATGGAGTGGAAGGGATGGACTCTGAAGTTGTCCTGGGCTCAAATTCCAGCTCCATCTCTTCGTTGTGGCACTGGGACCACGCCCAGGGCTCCCTCAGTTTCAATCCCAGCATCACATGGATGGAGAAGAGAGGATCAGACCTGCTGCATTTGTTACAAGACTACAAATTATAAAAGTCTTCTTTCAGGCTATATTTTCTCCCATATTTGTGACCTTGGAGATGTTTGAGGTTTTTGTTTCTGGTTTTTGGTTTTTGGTTTTTGGCGGGGCGGTAGGTAATGGGCATTGAACCCACAGCCTCACGCTGAGCTACATCCTTTTTCTTTTATTCATTTACTTTTTGAGACAGGGTCTTGTTAACTTCCCCAGACTGCCCTGAAACTTGTAGTCCTCCTGCCTCAGTTTCCCAAGCAGCTGGGATGACATGTGTGTGCCCAGCTTGAATTGATTGTTTTAGGCTGATAGTCAGAGAACTTCCTGTAGGCCCTGCATGGTGCTCAGTGTCTTGATTTGCTTCACTCAGTGACCACAGCAGCCCTGTGTTGTCAGTGTTTCAACATCCCCTCTGCCTACGTCACTGCCAGGTTTCTGCAGGTGGCAGGGTTTGCCTGGTGGGCACGGGGAACCCAGGAACATGAACCGTGATTCTGTCCTCTCAGCTCTTTCCATGGAGCAGCCTCTTGAAGGCCTGCCCTGCAGTGGAGGGGAGGGGGCTCCTGCAGCATGGAAGCCACGGCGAGATTTCCTTCATCAGAGGGACCGGCTCTACTCTCATCTCTTTCTCCTTCAGGAGGCCCTAAGACAAGCCCATTGTGTGGCTTAATGAGATTTACCTTATCTACTGAGGCAGAAAAGCCATAAACACCCAGGCAGCGTGATAAGGAGATAGGACACAAAGACCTCTGGCCAAAAACAGTGGAAAAACCCAGAGAGTGTCAGTCTTGCATGGTGAGCGAGCCTCAGCGAAGGAAGGGTAGGGAAGAGGGTTGGAGGAAGTCAGCTCTCTCCCCACGGCCCCCTCCAACTCCCTAGCCCATCCTCAGCAGCACAGTGAACCCTCAAAGCTTTTCCAGTCTCTTTCACTCTTTTAGATTCTACTTTGGAGAAAGCCTCCCCTGGTGATGCTGGGTCTTAACCATCTAAACTTGCTAATCTTTGATTGTGGCAGAGAACAGGCCCAGCTCAGAGCCTGGGACAGGTGACAGAGCTACAATGATACAGAGTCTCCTTTCAAAGAATACGCATTTCAGTTAGAAAGTGAATTGGGCTACAGCAAATAGATACAAGGTGTATGTCTTGGTCCTCTGGGCTGCTGTGACAAAATGCCGTAGACTGGTACCTTTTAAATAACCAAGATCTATTTGCCACAAGTTTGAAAGCTGGAAAGTCCGAGGTGAAGGCACCAGCAGAGCCAGTGTCTGGCAAGGGCTGGCTTTCTGGCTCATAGGTGATGCCTCCTCTCTGTCCCCTAACACATGGCAGGCTGCAGACACTCCCTTGGGCCTCAGTAAGCACGCTGCTCCCTTCTTGAAGCCTCCACTCTCCTGACCTAATCATCTCCCAAATGCCACACCTCCTAGTACCATCACCCTGGGGGCTAGGATGTCAACATAAGGATCTAGAGGAATCCAGATATTCAGACCATAGCGGAATGTGTGATGAAAACTGATGCTGTCACACAGGAGTGGTTCTTTTCCCTCAAAGTCTACTTCCTGCTCCAAGATTGTCTTTACTCACATGTGACACTTCTGAGTTCTTGCCCTCATCACTGGATCTCTACATCATTCTACTGAAATGCATTAAGCTGAACAACTGGGGGTCTTACGATCTGGCCTGTAGACCTCGGTGCCTCCCTCCTCCTCCAAACTTGGCCTTCCTGCAGGGCTACTGCGAGGATTCGAGATAAGGGACAGAAACCACATGCACATCGTAGATGCTCCATAAATGGGTGCTGTCGTAAAGAGGATGGATGGAGCTGGAGCCACACACGGTAGCCACACTGTGCTGGGCCCAAAGCCTGTCTCTGAGCTAAGGCACCAGGCCCGTTCCTTAACCTCTCTACATCTCCTCATTGTCATCAGCCCCACTGAGCTAGTGATGCCTGCCTCCGGGTGCTGGAAGATTACGTAAAACGAAGTATATTAAGCATTTGATACAGAGCCTGGCATGTAGAGCTCAATAAATAGCAAATATCATCTCATTAGTTATTAGTTAGTTATATATGTTATATATTAGTTATATATGTTTTCTTTCTCTTCCTTTATGTTCCGGAAGTTTATGTATGTAAAGACAGAAGTTTCTGAGAATGTTTGTCAAGGTGATTGAACCAGATGAAGCTGTCTTTTATGTCATTCATTCAAAAACACGGCATCCGGCATTGAAGAAACACCACTCTGAGTGAGGAGGCAGACAAGTTAAATTACAGTGCCAGGCAGGACATCTTAATTTGTTTTTGGGTTGTTCATTACGAGTGTATAGAAATACAATTGATTTTTGTGCCCTGATCTTTTTGGCATCCTGGCCACCTGCTAACCCCCTTTGTTAGCATTAATCATTTTTTAGTGGATTCCTTAGGATTTTCTGTATACAAGATCTGTAAGTAGAGATAGTTTTGCTTCTTCCTTCCCAATCTAAATACTTTGTATTTCTCTTTCTTATCTATTCTGCCTGACTGGAACCTCTAATATGATGTTGAACAGAAGTAGCGAGGGAAGATGTCCTTGCTTTGTTCTTAATCTCGGGGAGAAAGCATTGGTCTTTCACCATTTCACCATTCATTGTAAGTTTTATAGCGGGCTGAGGAAGTGCTTTTCAATTCCTAGCTTACTGCGTGTTTATCATGAAACCACATTAGGTTTTGTCAAATGTCCTTTCTGCATCTGGTGAGATGATCACCTGATTGTTTTTTAATTCTATTGCTATGATGTACCGCACTCGGGCCATACAAAGGTGAATTCTTCACAGGTGTGTTCGTGGAGCCCAAAGCCACCAACTGGGTGGAGGAGGGTGTCAGATCAGGGAGACCCGGCCTGCCCTTTTCTTGTCCTCTTTGGCCTGCTCAGTGCCCAAAGTAGGCACCAAAGTCCCGCGGCTGTCAGGACCGTGTCTGGGCACCTTGCCCCTCCTCCCTGCATTCAGAATCGTCATCCATTCTGATGCAGCTCGGGGAAGAGTCCAGCAAGACCTGGTGGGCTCCATAGATACGGTGACCCTGAGGCTCCCTGAGACTCCCTCCTGCTGGGCCTCTTGGCGAGGGCCCTGGGTCCCTACAAAGCATTCAGCAGCCTGTGAAGCAGCTTTTCAAGACACAGAGCAGCTCCTAGGGAACCCACCGTGCAATAGAATCATAGACTGCATCTTCAAAAGGGCCCTGGAAGATTAAAATCACCTTGTTGGAATCTAACATGACCACAGACGAAGCCTTATGGATTAAGTTTTTTTTGTTTTTTGTTTTTAAGGAGGGTGGTGGCATCCTCCTGTAATCATAGCATGCTAGGAAGCTGAGGCAGGAGAATTGCAAGTTCAAGGTCAGCCTGGGCAACTTGGCAAGACCTTGTCTCAAAAGAAAAGACCATAAAGGGCTGGAGGTAGAGCTCAGTCATAAAGTTGCATCTGGTTTCAGTCCCCAGTGTGGAAAAAATTGTTTTTAAATTATAACTTAAGGGGGGGTAGTGTTTTTCCCAAGTCTGAGCCCCATCCCCAATTCCTCTTTCAAAAGCAACGATAATTGTTGTTTTCTGGTAGCAAGATAGTCAGTGCACACATCAGCACCTCTGTATCCCCGTCTCTTTCTGTTTTCACATGGCAGTAGATTCCAGAGATCATTCTAGCTCAGCACAGATAGATCTCTCATCCTTTTCCACAGCTGCATAGTCACATTAGACAGCATGCATCATAGGGATGAATCATAGTTCATTTCCCTGATCTGCTATTGATGCACGTTAAGTTGCTTTCAAGTCTAGACTATCAGAGCGTCACTGCTAAGATCTACGTGTGTAGGTCTTTAGACGCATCTATGGGATAAATTTGCAGAAGAGCAATTACTGGGTCAAAGTGTATGCTAAGCCTTGTCATGTGATGTCAGCCCTGTCTGGACAGTAAAGGGAGTGGGACCCTGGGAATAAGCACAGGATGGGGCATGCTGGTGACAGATGCAGGTGGCATTACACAGTCCCCAGACAAACAGAAAATATCCACTGGGCTCCGCCTCAGTCAGTGGGCCCTGGCAGGAAGGCAGGAGGAAATCCACAGTTTGTCACACTGTTGAACTGCTGCTAGCCTTGTGTTGAAATGTGCTTTGACCTCACCTTCACCTCCTCTTGTGTTTGTCCAGTCCAGCAGGGCTCAACCTGAACAAGCACCAGATCCCCTAAGGCACTGGTTGCAGATTTCAGGGCTGGGGGCTGAGAGAGTCTAAAACAGGGTCAGGACCCCAGGAATATCTGTCTGTCTACAGAGGATAAAAGACCCTGTGGGATGTGAAGAGAATTTCAGGGTTGGGAGGGATGGAGCAGGGGACGAAAAGGAATGTGATGCTCTGTCTAACACACCCTCCTCTCCCCAGGTTACAGCCATCCTGCCCTGGCAAAACTGGTCCAGCAGCCTCAGAATGTGGTATGTCTCATAAAGACAGAATGTGGTATGTTACATAAAGACCAAATGTTTCATGCCATTCATGGAATCACTGAGCAGCTCTTAGAAACAGCCCATTCATTCATTCATCATTCCACAAAAGGTATCGAGCTCATACTATGCTCTAGGCACTTGGAATGCTTTGGGGACCAAAAGCACAGTATCCCCATTCCCAAAGAGGCAAATGGTTAACAACACACGTAAGCAAAGAACTGCAACCAGACTAAGTGCCACAGAACAAGGCAGGCAGTTTTATAGGCGTAAAGTAGCGATAATAATTAGTAATGCTTATGAAGAAAAAAATTTGCACTAAACACTGTGCTTAGCTCTTTATAGCTGTAATTTTTTTTTTTTGGTACCGGGGATCAAACTCGGGACCTCGTGCTTGCAAAGGAGGTGGCGGAACCACTGAGCTATATCCCCGGCCCCTATAGCTGTAATATTGACATATCTGTGAAGCAGGTACAGTGTTATCCTCATTTCACCCATGAGGAAACTGAGGTACAGAGAGGTTAAGTATTTGCCCAAGTCACACAGACAGTGGAGCTGCTGGGAATAAACCCACAAATATACCTCCAATTTAGTAGACCACACCATCTATATGCTGGGTGTGTCTCTCCTGTTCTTTGTGGCTGCATAAATGGAATCACACAGTGTGCACTTTGTCTTACCTGGTTTATTTCATGTCTGAAGCCAGGAGTGGTGGTACACATCTGTACTGCCAGCTACTCAGAGGGCTGAGGCAGGAAGATCACAAATTTGAGGCCAGCCCGAGTAACTTAGCAACTTAACAAGCCCCTGTTTCAAAATAAAACTTAAAAGGCTATGGTGTAGTTCCAGCAGTTCCAGCAGCAGTTCCTAACATGTGGAGGCCCTGGGTTCAATCCCCAGCCCTGCCAAGGAAAACTATAAACAAAACAAGTCACATCTGTGTGATTCATCCTCAGAGTCATGTGTGGCCACTGACTAGCAGCTTTCTAGGGTCCCATTGTGTGAATGTGCCATCCTTCCTACTGTTGATGGGCACGAGGGTGGTTTCCAGTTTGGGGCTCTTACAAAGATGGCTGCCATGATCAAGTCTGTGTCTCATGCTGAGCACATCAAGATGAGTGTTGGACACAGAGCTAAGAGTAGATTGCCAGTCTTGGCATGTGTCTGTATGGAGCTTCAGCAAATCCTGCCAGTTCTTCAAGTCCCAATTTCCATTCCACCAGCAGTGCGGGGACAGGAGAGGGGGTCCAGTTGCTCTAAATCCTCACCAACACTCGGTGTCATTGGAGGGTTTTCATTTGACTCAGAGAGGGACAACCTAGAGCACACATGACAAGGAGCTTGATTTCCAAAAACAGATCTAAGGAAGGCAAAGGGGACCAAGTACCCAGTCCTGGTAAGGAACCGAGTCCCCAGCCTCAAAATGGTCTTCCCCTTTAATCGACAGAATTGAAGATCACTAGAAAGAACCACTGTTCCTCCTTATAAAAGGGTGTGCTCTTCTTAGGGGGGATGGGGGACATTCTTGCCTCCGCTTAACCGGCAGGTGCAGGGGCCGCTGGAGAGGAAATTGGGGTCTCTGGTTGGGATTTGATGAAGGCTTTTCCCCCAGGGGCTCCATGGATGTTTACATTCAAAGCCGGGCTTTGTTCTGAAACAGCATAAGAACCCCAGATGCCTTGGCAGTTGGTGCGGAAAAAAATGTGTCAACAAACATGTCAAACATATTTGCAATGTTAACTGCCTGCAGAGGCAGAATCTTCCCAAGAGCACATGACGTCAAGGCCCAAGGATTCTGATTTGGGGGCAGCATCCCTCCATCCCCACCAGGGGCCTGCAGGCTCAGGCACCTCTCACGCCCCGCCCAGCTGGGGCTGGGCCTGCTCCTCACCTCCCCCACTGGCATCCCTGGCAGCGGCCTCTGTCCCACAGCCCCTGCATTTCCTGCCTCACCTCCTCCCAGCCGAACTGTCCCCCAAGCCTCCCCACGGTGCATGGAGCCCAGGTCCACTGCCTTTAGGAAGTTCATCTGCATCCAATGCAAAGCCCTTACTGATCTGGCTCCTGCTTTCTTCTTCAGCTTTTTGTTTTGTTTTGTTTTTTTACTGGGATGGAACCCAGGACCTCCTGCATGCTAGGCGAGCGCTCTGTCCCTGAGCCACACGCCAGCTCAGCCTTGTTTCTCGACTCGTGTTCTATTACCAGTAATGGGCTGACTGCCAGCTGTGTGCCTGGCACGGTTCTTGGCCTGGACCACGTTGGAGAGATCACACCCTCCAACACAGTTGTATGAGTCGTTCTGCAGAGAACTTTGGAACTTGGGGAGAAGAGACGCTAACCCTGTGTTAGAGATGCTAAAACGTGGGCACACTGAGCATCGGGCTGAGACACTGCCGGCTGACAGTTCTTGGCTGGAGACAGCCTGGGGTGAGCATTCTGGTGCTCACCCCATCCAGGGCAGTTTCCTGCCAGCTTATCAAGTCCTGAGAAGGAACCTGTCACAGCACCACTGTGAAACTCCACCGTAATGGCTTCATGTGACTGCACAAACAAAACCATGTCCCCCCGAATCTAATACCTGGGTTCCAGTTATGATTTCCTCTGTCACCAGGGCCATGTTGTTACATTGCTCACCAGCTGTGCAAGGATTATGGGGCATCATGTGTGCATGGTCATATTGCAATCCGTGACAGCTACACTCTGACGTCCCTGCACCTGGAATGACATAGCATAGGGGGCTTGGCCAGGTGAGACGCACGCCTACCTGTGACTTTCAGGCCTTTCCAACTGCATGATTCTGTCCCTGGAGTCTGAGCTCCTGCATTCTCTGTATCCATGTCACCTCCTACCTCCTTACAAGCCAGGGGGGGCTCCCCATTTTGGCAGATGAAGACCCTGAAGCTAAGAAGTTAGGTAACAGGCCCAAGGTTGCATAGCCACTTAAACCAAGCCCCTTCTCTTCATGCTGCATGTTAAGACTAATGGGCTGATGGTGAAGCTTCTAGAAACCTGTCTTCATTTGATTCTGTGACCTGATGATGTCTCACATGGCTTCTGTTCTTGGTGTCATGCTTTATTGAACAAGAACACCACCCCCACATCTTTCCCAGGCCCAGATAGGCAGTCAAGCTACCAGTCTGCTGGGCAGACTCCTCCAGGAGTCTTCCCTGCAGCCCACGTTGGCAGTTTGCCTCCACCCTGATCCGGTTGCATCCTACTTCTTAGAAGCCCCACAAACAGCTTAGAGTGAGGAGGAAATGCTCCTTAAAGGCCCCAACAGGCCAGCCCCAGTCTCCGGGTTGTACCAAGCAAACTCATACCTGGCATTAACCTTTCTGGGGGAGCCTGCCTGAAGGGTGTGACAGAGTAGCATCTGCACCCAGCCTGGATCTTCAACGTGGTTCTGCCCTTTCCTGTCTGTATGTCTTGGGACAAGTTGTTCGACCTCTCTGCACCTCAGTTTCCCAACTCTACAAGGGAAGAAGGTTAATTTTCCATGCCACTTCTCCTAGAGTCACTTGGGTGGTCACAAAGAAGAAAAAGCAACAGAGGTGTGAATCAACCACAGTTTCTAGAGGCCCAAACCACTTCCCAAAGCCACCAGGAGACCAGTCTGGATTTTACCGTCTTCTTAGTACTGTCTTTTGTGCTGTATTGCAGGATCTGCTTCAAGATGCTACACTGGATTTAAGTTATGATCCCTTTAAGGCCAGGGATTTAGCTCAGTGGTTCTGCTGCTTGCCTCACAAGCACAAGGTCCTGAGTTTGATCCCCGGTACAAAAAAAATATATATATATATGATCCTTTTTATAGCCCAAATCCATTTGTGTGACCTCACTGTTCATGGTGCAGCCCCTTCCCCATCAGAAGTGGGGAAACCCCCAGGATTAGCTGCTTTTCCTCCCACTGCAGGTGTCTGTCATTAGCATACAAGCAGCTCCCACCACCAACACAATGGGGCCTGGGACTTCTGGTCAACCTCAGGCTATGTCCCTGGCTCACCTCCTTCCTGGGATCCCAAGAGTGACTTCCCACCCCTGCGCACCCTTCATCTCTTATTTCCTGTAGAGCGAACTATTCTGAATTCACTGGCTTCACATGTTTTGTCACTAAATCTGATACATCTCTGTCCTCCAGTACAATGGCTTAGTTTTACAATCAGTGAGTGTGACAAGGTTATCCTGAAGCTTTGTAAAGCCCCTGAAACTTACGTACGGTAAAACCCACCCTTTTCAGTGTACAGTGTACAAATGCTCTTTTGCACAATCACAGTCAAAACCCAGATGCATCTGCACATGTGCATCTACAGCGGCATCTTCACAATGGCCAATTGGGGCGAGCAGCCCACTGATCATCGGTTGGTGAATGGATAAACCAGTGTGGCCCCACCCATGCAACAAGTATTAGCCGCAGAAAGGAAGGAAATTCTGACACATGTCGCCAAAGAGCTGAACCTCGAGGACTGTGCTATGTGAAATAAGCCAGCCACAAAAGGACAAATAGTGGAAGATGCCATGGAGGTCCTAGAGTCACTGCATTCATAAAACAAGACAATAATGGTTGCCAGGGGCTGGGAGCAGGGAGATAGGGAACAATTTCAGTGTGGGAAGATGGAAGACTCCTGGGGATGGATGGTGGTGAAGGCTGCACAACAGTGTGGATGCACCTAATGTACACTGAGAAATGGTTACAATAGTGTGTTTTATGTTAAGCGGTTTCTACCACAATTTTTAAAAATTCAGACAGAACAGCCCATTGCTCCATTCATTCCCCTTGTGCCTCTGGCAGTCGGTTGTGCTCCAGCCCCAGGCAACCATGTGCTGTTTTCTGTCCCCACAGTTTGTCTGTTCTACAATGCCATGTAAATGGAACCATACAGGCTACTACTGTTGGCTTCTGGCTTCTTTCAGTACCGTGACTGTGAGATTCTTCCACGTAATCGTGTATATTGCAGGAGTGTTCTTTTACATTGCTGAGTAGTATTCCACGGTATGAATGAACCACAGGTTGTTTATTCTTCCCCCAGTGGAGGGACATTGAGTTGTTTCCAGTTTTTGGCAAAAGAGAATAAAAGCCACCATAACCGTTCACACACACGTCTCTGTGTGGATGTGTGCTTTTGTTTCACTTGTGGGAACACCTTGGAGTGAATTGCTGGGGGACAGGGTAAGTACACACTCAGCATTGTAGGAGCTAGCACTTTGCCTTCCTGAGTGGCTGCACCATTTCACCTTCCCATCAGAGAATACTCCAGAATGAGAGCTGCACATTCTCTACATCCTAGATAATGTGTGTCAGTGTCCATGTTTTGTTTTGTTTTGTGTTTTGGTACCAGGGATCGAACTCTGGTCCTTGGGCTTGCGCAGCAGGCAGTGAAACCACTGAGCTAAATCCCCGGCCCCAGTGTCCATGTTTTGACCATTCTGATGGAGTTTTCCTAAATTATAGATTTGCAGTAAGCTGCAAAACAAAAAAATATGAAAAGGGGTCCCTTGTACTCTCCCTGGTTTCCTAGTGAATGTCCCTAAAGGTTAGGGAAATCTGTCATCCTCAGCGCCAACAGATACCCCCAGCCTGCAATACTGCTCAGAGCCTGCTTGAGCCCCTCTTCCATGAAGAGGCACAAGGTGATCGGGACCTGGGGGAACCCTGCAAAGTCACTGCTTGTCTTCTGCGCCCCTTTTACAGAGCGCCTTCATCAACAGACCTGCCCTGGGCATCCTGCCCCCAGAGAACTTCGTGAACAAGCTCAGGGAGTCCTTGCTCTCGGTGAGTCTGGGGAACAGTCCTGCCCTATTATAGTCCCACTTCCGCCTTCCAGCCCCACTGTCCTCAGAGGTGGTCAGCCAGGGCAGCAAAGGATCACAATCCAAAACTATGAAGGAGAGGCTGTTGCTGCTGAAATCGTGCTCTTTGGACTTAATATATATACACCGAGCTACATCTCCAGCCCTTTATTTTGAGATAGGGTCTCACTAAGTCACTGAGTTGCCAAGCCTGGGGTTGAACTTTCAGTCCTCCTGCCTCGTCCTTCCAGAGTGTTGGGATTATATGCATGTGGTACCACACCTGGCTGGGCTTATTCTCTCATGAAGAATATTTTTTTTCCATTAAGTTTATTGGTATATTTTAGGTATACGATACAGTCATTCATCACTGGGATCTTGTACCTTTACATGATTTATGTTGGTTCTTATTTTTTAGAATATTTTAAATTTTTCTCTTGTAGAAAAGAAGGGGGTTTTGTGTGCAGAACAAAGGGAATGCAAGGAAAATTAGTATTTGTCCCATGAGAGGAACTCTGGATGAATTACTCATTCCTCCCCTGACTTTTCAGCTTTAGCTGTTACGAGGATTAAAGTCATTGGGAACCTCAGCCTCCTACCTGCAAAGTGTGGATATCTTAGGAGTGATAGCTGTATCAGAAGGCTTGGATGTGGCTTTCTGTGTCTCTCTTTCTTCTCTGCTGGCTTCGGGGCATTCCTGGGTGTCTTTTCCAGCCCTACACAAGCCTAACCCCACCCTTCACATCCAGCTGCTTCCAAGATGTCCTGGTTTCCCTCCCTCCCTTGACTATGGCTCCCAGATGGGGGAGGCGGGAGGACCCTGGCAGTACAACTCCAGGGAGGGAAAGTAGGGGTCAGGTGGGCCTGGGCTCACCCCTGGCTCCCTCATGGCAGGTGGCTCCGAAGGGGATGTCCCAGCTTGTCACCATGGCCTGTGGCTCCTGCTCCAATGAAAATGCCTTCAAGACCATCTTCATGTGGTACCGGGTAAGGCTTGGGGTCCAGACACACCCCTGTCTGACAGTTCATTCCAACAGGCTGGAGAATTAGACTTAGTGGCCTGGGTCAAGTCCAGGGAGGGCTGGCTGGAGCTTTCCTAGCATCCTAGAGGAGCATGGTACAAAGGACTTTGACATCAAACTTACCCAGTGTACTTACTGCCACTTTCACCCGTGTAACAAGTACCAACTGAACAAAGCTTAGCTGTTGCTGATAGAATCTTAATGCATCACAATGCAATGTACCATTCGTCTATTTTGTTATTGTTGAAAGCACAGCGAATAGTTGTTTGTTTGTTTTTTTGGTAACGGGATTGAACTCAAGTCCATGCACTTGCAAGGCAGGAGGCGCTACCACTGAGCTAAATCCCCAGCCCACAGTGGAGAGTTTTAAGCTTCGATGCAGACACGTTAGGATCAGTACAGGATTTCACCTCTTGAAAAAGCACCAGTTGTCCCCACTAAACCAAACAGGTTTGGGTGGAAAGTTTACATCCCATCTACCCCCAGTGTCTCAGGTTTTGTTCTGTTCTGTTTTGCCAGAGCAAAGAAAGAGGGCAAAGAGGGTTCTCAAAAGAGGAGCTGGAGTCGTGCATGATTAACCAGGTAGGTGGGACTGGGCCTCTTGCCTTGTTCATTTAGGGGAGCTGTGTGGCTCCCTCCAGCTGACTGACCCAGTCTTTCTCAGTTAGGAGGGGTCCTCAAGCATCTCCACTCCCTGCAGGTTGGGGCTGAGTGGAGCACTTCCTGACCAGCCTTCAGCAATTTCCCAGAACAAAGGCCTGAATTTGACAGGTTTAAGGAGGGTATCAATGGGATCTACAGTAAGTCCCCAACTTACAAACGAGTCTTCTTCCAGGAGAAAGTTCATAAGTCTAACAAAGTGAGTCTCCTACCGTACACCTATGAAAGTTCCCAACTTGAATGTTCATGAGTCAGGGACTTACTGTATAGAATAACCAGAAACATCAGCTAAACTGTATGCATGAGTGTTCACCCCATCTGTGTTTATAGCAACAATAACCAGAAAAAAATTGGAACCCACCTATATCCCCAACCAGGAATGGGGAAAGAGGAGTTAAATGTAGGAATTCCAAACAAAACTCTGGCAATTCCCAGAAACACCAGGGAAGCCACTGGTAGGGCTCAGAGGTGACTGGTGGGGGCTGCAGGGAAACGGAGTGGGTAGTGTCACAGGCTCCCACCAAGCTCAGCCAGAGCAGCCTTGTCCCCTTTGTGCATCGGATCCCATGAAGGTTTAGCCAGAAGTGTCTGCAGCTTTAAGAAAAAAAAAAAAAGAAACACACGGAGCGAATATCAAGAGCTACTGCACCTAATTATCCATCCACTACTTACATGCATAATAATACTCCTCAGCAAAAATAATTACAAAAGGTTTCTCCTGGCCTGGACACGCGTGCTATAATTTGGTGAAAACTGTGGAATGTAAATTATATGGATACTGTTCCCTCAACCATATGAGTAAATATACGGGAAAACACTAGAAGAAATCCTGCTAACATGTTAATGGCTTGGCCCTGGGTGGCAAAACTGATTGTTTTGGTTTGGTTTTTCTTATGCTTTCTTAATATATACTTTTTTCCCAACCCCACTTTCTGCTAGCAAATATATCCATACCTTTCTCCATATTCAAATAACCCAAGGCTGGGGATTTAGCTCAATGGTGCTGCACCTTCCTCACAAACGCAAGGTCCTGAGTTCGATCCCCAGTACCAAAAAAAAAAAAAAAAGGATAACCCGGAAAAACATTTACCTCTTTTTATAGCTTTTTTTTTTTAGTGGACCTTATTCTGCCTCTTTCCCTGTCTTTGCTCAGTTGATATTCATGGACAGCCTATTCCATCAATATTTTTAGATCTAATTCCTCATTTTAGTGCCTATGTCCAAATATGCACGATGATACATATCTGTATTACACTTATAAAGAAGAAACGAGTTATTTTCTAGCAAACAACAGCCTGTCTGCCTCTCAGGAGTAGAGTGAACAAGACAAATGCAGTGAGCATGGGGGAGCCGGCAGCAAACTCATTTCCAAGCCAGCCTTCTAGGGAAAGATCAAAAGAAGTGATTCCCCAGACTTTACAGAAGAAATGAGTCTGTGCCGCCGAGGAAGTGGAGAGCTGGTGTGGGCTCTGCACTTCCCCGACCAGCCACGTCTTCCCGAGCCCAGATTCAGTTCCCACCATGGTAATGAGGTCGCATGTGGCCCCCAGGAGGAGAAGCAGGAAAAGCCCAGCAGCCTGGTACAAGCTGGAGACTGCAGGGACTCCAGCCCCAAGGTAGGGAAGAATTTTAAGCCAACTGGATTTTGCAAATGGGCCAAGAGTTTGTGCACTGGTCCGGAGCCCACCCTTTGTCTGTCTCCAGTTTGGAAAGAGATGATCCCAGGAGCTTTTCAACTCTTACCAGACATCCAGAGACAGATTCGGAAATTGAAGAAAGCCAGGAAGAGACTGGCGGAGGCCCTGAGGGTGGACAGGCTTGCCAGGAAGGCAGAGACGGTGAGGACCCAAGAGGAAAGGTCTGAAAAACAGGAGCAGGAACTGCTGAAGAATCTGAGATGTGAGGCCTCTGGAGAGATGTTCACCATGGAAGATGTTTCAGTTTCCTGTGTGTCTTTTAATACCAATCCTGCCCTTCCCAATGATCTTGTAATACCCAAACTGTGCTTTATTAAATGTTTTGTCAGACAGAAAGAAAAAGAAAGAATGAAAGAAAGAGAAAGAAAGAGAGGGAGAGAGAGAGAGAAAGAAAGAAAGAAAGAAAAAGAAAAGAAGAAAGGAAACAAGAGGTGGTGGGAGTGGGGGCTTTAGTTCAGTGGCAGAGGACTTGCCTAGCATGCACAAGGCCCTAGGTTCAATCCCCATTACTGCAAAAAGGGTGAGGGGGGAAAAACAAACAAGAGAGTACTCTGGAACTTGTGAGAGGAGGTCTTGAAGTTTTCCCCAGGAGTCTCAGGGATCTGGTGGAGATAAGCCAGCCTGGAAATTGTCCTGTCACCTCCCAGAGCCTGGACTGAGGAGGCCTCTGAGGCTCCCCCAGCAGTTCCTCCTGAGTGACCTGGATGCACAGTTGATTACCTTGCTTGGTGGAGGGTCAGGAAGCAGTGCAAGGAGTGGCAGCTGTGCCATCTGCTTGGGCTGGGAAGGGGTGAGGGGCCTGTGTGCTGGGCTCGTGCCCCTCCTGAACCAAGGGAGAAGGAGAAGTGTGTCCTCCTCTCCTCTGCTTCTGGCCCAGCAGACCTCTTCCAAAGGCCTCAGGCATTTTGACAGGTGCCCAGCTGAGTCCCCTTCCTCAGGACACCTGGGAGGCAGGTACACACCCATGAGGATGGGACCACCTGTGAGCTGTGGCGGCCAGAGCTGCCTTGCATCTTAAGTGTGAGCATTCTGGGAGAGGCTGCAGAGCAGGTGCTGAACATGCAGAGGCCCAGCCAGGAGGAGGGTCACCTGCAAGTGAACGCCAGGCCACCTGCTGCTGCCACAGGAGAAACATGGCCCATATGGGGTAGGGCCTGTGGGAAGCCAGAAGCTCCCATATTTATATGCAATCCCTTGGTTTTAAATTTGGCAATTTTAAAATTTTAAGTGTGTGAGCAAAACAAAATATCTGTGAGCTGGGTGTAGACCTCAGGGGTTCAGATTGTGACTTGTGCCCAAGAAGGACTCAGTTCTTCTCACAGACTTCTTCTGTCTTCCCCCAGGCTTACAAAGTGGCATATTGTCCCCAGTCCTCTCAGTGGTGACTGATGCTCGTGTTTCTTGGTTCTAGGCCCCCGGGTGCCCTGACTACAGCATCCTCTCCTTTATGGGCGCTTTCCACGGGAGGACCTTGGGTAAGGAGGGATCAACATATCCCACGGTGGCATTTAGAGTAATAACAGTAGCTATAGCAATGCTTGCCTTGGGCCTGGCATTGGTGTTTTACACATTTCCTCCCATTGATTCCACACAATTCCCTGCAGAGGGGGACTACTGTCCTCACTTTACAGATGTGGAAATTGAGGGTCAGCAGGGGGAGAAACTTTCCAAGGCCTTTCAGGGACAGCAAGGATTCAAACCCTCACCTCTCATCTTCAGAATCTGTGCATGACCTGTGATAAGTCACAAAGCATGCACACGGGCGCGCGCGTGCGCACACACACACACGTCCACTCACACGGACAACAGTTCACGGGCTCTGCTTCAGGCTCAGGACTGTGCAAGAGCTGTAACCTGCAGGCAGCAGGCCTCCCTCCCTGTGCATTGCCTGCCTGTGGCTGAAACGCCCATCCTGTCCTCTTCAAAGACCACCCATGCCACTGCCCCATGCCAAGCGTCTGCTTTTCTGTCTCACTGGACTCAGGTTGCTTAGCGACCACGCACTCCAAAGCAATTCACAAGATCGACATCCCTTCCTTCGACTGGCCCATTGCGCCTTTCCCACGGCTGAAGTACCCTCTGGAGGAGTTTGAGAAGGACAACCAGCAGGAGGAGGCCCGCTGCCTGGAGGAGGTAACTGGCTCCCCACCTCCATTCGTGCTCCTGCTCTTGCCAGCCAGAGCCTGAGCACGGAGGAGGACAGACGAAGCCTTTATCTGGGGACATGGGTAGTGCTCCCTGGGGAGGAGGCAGGGACAGGGAGGCCTTGTGCCTCAAGTGCTCCGTGCTGAGAAAGCTAGTGACATATGGTTTCGCCGCTCTGCATTCATCCTCCACTTCTGGCACCAAGTTCTCTATAATTTACATGTCTTTGGGGCCAAGCTCCGGTGACTCCAAAATAAAGGGAAATAGATTTATTGGAAAAGTATGCATAGTAAAACACAGTAGCATGAAGCTGTAATCCCAGCACTCTGTGGGAAGCTGAAGCAGGGCAATCACAAGCTCAAGCCCAGCCAAGACGACTTGTCAACTTAGCAAGACCCTCTCTCAAAATAAAAAATAAATAAAGGCTGTAGGGCTGGGGATGTAGCTCAGTGGCACCACGCCTGCCTTGCAAGCACAAAGTCATAAGTTTGATCCCCAGTACCAAAAACAAAAAACAAAAACAGGCTGTAGATATGGCTCAGTGTGAAGACTATGGGTTCAATCCACAATACTGCAAAACAAAATACAATTAATTTAATTGCATTTTATTGAACCTAATATATCCAAAATATTATGTCCACATGCAACTATTACTTTAAAACTACTAATGAGATACTTTATTTTCTCATATAAGCGTTTGAAAACTATACTGTGTATAGTTATGGTAGAGCACAATTTGGACCAATTACATGCCAAGTGCTCCTTAGCCATCTGTGGTTCATGGCTCCCGTGGGGAGCCTGCGGGAAGTAGGAAAGATGTACAGAAATAACCGTGTAGTGACAAACTGGAGGTGATTTGTAAGTGGAATGGCAAAGCAAGGAAAAGCACCCCAGAGCTTCCGTGGGGTGACTGGTAGAGCGTGAAACGTCAGGAGGCCCCATGACTAGCCTCCTGCTGGCAGCAATCTCAAGGAGGACACAGCCCCGGCCACACGTGAGCTCCTAAAGGGGGCCACACAAACCACAGGAAATGCCACAACACATAGTTTCAACATAGTTTCCAGGAGGGCATGGGGCCCCAGATTCCCATCCACTGTCTCTACTCGGGAGCCTCTGTGAGCCACTGTCGTATCCCCTTTGGGGTCCAGGTGGAGGATCTGATTGTTAAATACCGGAAAAAGAAGAAGACTGTGGCCGGGATCATCGTGGAGCCCATCCAGTCTGAGGGCGGAGACAACCACGCATCGGATGACTTCTTCCGGAAGCTGAGAGACATCGCTAGGAAGGTTAGAGGATGGGGCAAGGCTGGAAAGGACATAGGACTTTCTGGATTTGTTTCCCAGAGCAGAATGTTAGCCCTGCTTCTGCTTTGGGATCCATGCAAACATCTAGATGTACAGATGATCTCGACACCACAGGTAGAGAAGCTGGGTATCTGTGATTCATTTTTTTGTTTGTTTGTTTGTTTTTTGGTACCGGGGATCAAACTCAGGACCTTGCGCTTGCCAGGCAGGCAGCGGCACCGCTGAGCTAAATCCCCGGCCTCTACGATTGATTCATTTTTAAACTCTTATTGCAGTTGGGTATGGTGGTGCACACCTGTAAACCCTGCAGACTTTGAGGCTGAGACAGTAGGATTGCAAGTTCCAGCACAATTTAGGCAACTCAGTGACTTCGCAAGACTCCGTCTCAAAATAAGCAAACAATGGGCCGGGGATTTAGCTCAGTGGTTCCGGCGCCTGCCTCACAAGCACAAGGTCCCGAGTTTGATCCCAGGTACCAACAAAAAAAAAACAAACAAAATAAGCAAACAAGCAAACAAACAAAAGAGCTGCGGATATAGCTTAGTGCAAAAGCGCTGGTTTAATCCCCAGTTATGAAAACAAAACAAAACTTCTTGCAAATCAGCTTCCAATCTGCCTCTCAAACTGTGGGACTTTCTCAGTTAAGAGGTGCCTAGGAAAGCTTCAGCCTCCTCCCCTTTATATGGGCTGGACATATATTTAGTCAGCTCATTAAACCAGCAACTTCTCAAATAGAGGTTGCAGGCCATGAGTTACTAATAGCCCAGTGAGACGTGGAACAGGGCAGCTGAAGTCAAGGAAGTGAAGTATCCCCTTCACTTTTACGCTCATTTCCTTCTGATGAGGTTGAGCCTGGCTGGGGCTGGAGCCGGGGGAAGTCAAGCTACACTTTGCTCCAGAGTACTATGTGTTGTGCTTCTCTTCCAGCTCAGCAGTTTTAGGACACATTCAGGTGCAGCTCTGGTGGGAGCTGCTCTACTTTAAGCGCCTGGTTTTCAGCAGCGCCCAAGAACACAGCTTTGATCGGCAGATTAGGAGACAGGGAGGATGAGGCTGGGTGTAGGTGTGTATTGGTTGCAGTGAGGCCATTCATCTCTCCCTCTTCACTTCCTGCTCTCCTCGGCAGCATGGCTGTGCCTTCCTGGTGGATGAAGTCCAGACAGGAGGGGGCTGCACCGGCAAATTCTGGGCCCACGAGCACTGGGGCTTGGATGACCCAGCAGACCTCATGACCTTCAGCAAGAAGATGATGGTTGGGGGCTTCTTCCACAAGGAGGAGTTCCGGCCCAACGCTGTGAGTGGGGCCCCGGACCAGGGAGTGTCCCTTTCTCCCTGCCCATCCCCCAACACGAGGACCCGCAGGCACCTGACGCAGCCCAGGCCTTACCAATTTAATTAGTGCTATGATCACAGCTCTCTCCGAGCCCATCTTCACAGATACCCACTGTCAATCTCCAGAGTTCTTTCTCTGAGTATAATAATGTTAACAGTTACTCCTGCCGACTGAACATTTGCTCTGTACTTACATACTTCTCTTGATCTTTTAACTTTCACAGCAATCTAACCAAGTAGGTGTTATTTTTATCCTGTTTTACTAATGGGGAATCAGGCACAGAGTAGTTCAGTAAGTTGTCCAAGGCCACACAGCCTGTAACTGACAAAGCCAAGATTCAAACCAAGAGCTCATGTTCTTAACCATTACACTATGCTGCTTGTGTACATGAAGATCCTCATTTGTAAAACACACATACACACACACACACACACACACACACAGCCCAGAATCCTCCCATCATCCCTACACGTACAAGGAGTGATCAATATACACAGTGAATGTTTAAATTTTTTAAAATTTCTTACAGTAAAAGACACATTGCCATTAATCCCCCTCAAAACCCTCCCCCTCACCTTGAACACACTTATCCCATCATTCTTGCCATTTCTGAAGCAGCTGTCTCGAAGTTCTCTTTTGTGAGTGTCTTTAGTTGTGAAGTTGTGGCTGTCTCAGTGTCCTGAATCGCTTCAAAACATTCACCTTTCATGCTCATTTTGACTTTTTGGGAAGAGCCCGAAGTCGCAGGGTGCCCGATCCAGTGAGTAAGGTGGATGAGAATGCACTGTAATGTTTCTATGAGCCTGCCTCTCTGTTGGATGGCACCTGACGGCAGCATTCACTGTATTTTTCATTATACTTTGTAAAGTCACAAAAGAAGATGTCCAGAACTGCTTCAGAGAGCAGTAATAACAATGGCATTAGTGTGTTGGAGGTCGGGGGAAGTATTTTGAAGGAGAGTAGTGGCAATGCGTCTTTCATTATAATACATTTTGAAAATTTAAACATTAAATGTTTGTATTGACCACCCCTTGTAGTTTCTGCCTTCAGGGTTGCCTCATGGCCCAGAATGGCTACTTGAATGGCCAGCCATTACAACTCAATTCTAGGCAGGAGGAAGGAAAGAGATGGGAAAGACATTCCCACAAATACTCTTTTCTAACATTTGATTAATTCTTAGTCACATGGTCCGTTCTCCTTATCACCACCATGAATAACTCATGGGTGGGTAAATACTTCATTTGAGGGTCAAACTGCCAGCAATCCAGGCCCAAATCCGTCACCTATGAGCCATGTTTGCTATGGGCAGTGCTTTAGCTTTTTCAAGCCTCAGCTTCCTGCTCTGTTCAGTGAGGATTATTGAACAGCTGTGTGCTGCAGAGTGAGGCTGTGGTCCACAATGGACTGTGTATATCAAGGTCCTTCCATGGGATTATATCGCCTACTGACTCTTAACCATCTCAGTCTGTGTGCACACACTGGATGAAGTTTGCAGGGTGACAGACCTCCTAGCAATGCATTTCTCAGAACACAGCCCTGTCATTAAGCCATCCATGACTGTAGTTCAGGGACCAACTGCCATGATTTCTCAGGGCCTGGAGGGATTTTCTTTCCCACAGTAGCACTTACTTACCGGGTTGTCTTGGGAGAATCAGTGAGATAATGTATGCTGTACTCCTAACCCTCGTGGACGATCCGTGATTAGATTCTCCGATTTCCAAGAGAGGGGAGGGAGCAGGGCTTCGGGGGTGTGCTATGTGTGCCTATCTACTGCCTGCCTGTTCCAGCCTTACCGGATCTTCAACACCTGGCTGGGGGACCCATCCAAGAACTTGCTGCTGGCTGAGGTCATCAACATTATCAAACGTGAGGACCTGATGAACAACGCAGCCCATGCAGGGAAGGTCCTACTCACAGGATTGCTGGACCTCCAGGTACCTTCCTCCTACCGCTCACTGTGGCCCTAGGAGTGCCTCACAGCCCCTCACGGCTCACCCATGGCAGCATCCACAGGCTTCAGCATGGCCCTGCGCCTGCTGTCCCAGCGTTCTGAACGGACTGTGCTGCCCCCAGGTTCCAGGCACAGACTGTGCCCTGTGTAGGGAGTGCCTCCCCACCTCACCCTCCAGCCCACAGCCCAGTTCCCCACTCCTACTTTTTTTAATTTTTCATTTTTATCAGTGCATGTTTGCGGTACATACTACATCCGTCATGAGGAGTGGTGCATATACAGACCCCATCTTAATGCTTTTTCCTTCCCTTCCCCGCCCATCTCTCGGTCCCCTTCTCCAAAAAGCTCTCTCTCCCTGCTTCCTATTATCTGCCTGTCATTTTGCTCTTTCATTTATTTATACTTTGGGCTTCTCATACAACAGAAAACATGTGATAGTTAAGCTTGTCTTTGACAGACACTACGTTCAGACATGAACATCCCTCCTTGGAGAAACCTCTCAGAGATTCCCTCTGGCACCACCCCAACCCCTGTCCTCAGTTTCCTCCTCTGTGCTGCCTTCTCTAGCCACTCTGCAGCTGTCCTTCCTAGTGGGGTCTCCTGCAGGCCACAGATGTCATTCTAAATGTTCTAAGAGCCAGACAAAAAGCCAATAAAATGAGTTCAAATTAGTTTTAATAATATATTTTACTTAACCCATTTTGTCCAAAATATTATCATTTTAACAGGTCACCAATAGAGAGAATAAGTGATATGATATTTTTATTCATTTTTTATATCAAACTTTTGAAATTCGGTGTATTAGCCACTTTCCTCTCCGTGAGACACAATACCTGACAACCACAACTTACAGAAAGAGAAGTTTAACTTGGTTCCCAGTTCACAAGGATTCAGTCCATTGTTGCTGGCTTCAAGCCAGAAACATCATGGTGGGAGGATGTGGTGGAGCAAAGCTGCTCACCTCACTCACCTCATGGCAGCCAGGAAGCAGAGAGAGCAAAGGCACCAGGAAGGGAGATACACCCTGCAAAGTCACACTCCCCAGGGACGCACCTCTACCAACCAGTCCCCACCTAACCACACACAAATCCACTGATGAGTATGAGATGCCCATGATCCAATCACCTTCCAAAAGCCCCACCACTGAGCACATGAGACTTTGGGGGAACATGTATTTTACACATACGGCATCTCTCAATTTTGACTCATCACATTTTGGCAGCCACATGTGGCCACCTCACTGGATGAGGCAGGTCTGCATTAGAGTCTAACATGCAGACGCTGCTCTCCTAAGCTGGGGGAGCAGGTGGCTTGCTGGGGGACCAGCATTTCTAGGACTGGCAGCAGAGCCAGGAGTTTTGGGGAGAGATGACTTTTTCTGGGTGACTGCTCTTAAAGTACCTGTCCTCTAGGATTTTGAAACATCCTGCCAACATTGACATGAGCACAGCTCTGCTGAAGGGAGATGATGATGGTGATACTGGAGGTAATCAAGGTGACAATGAGGATGGCAATAAAGAAGGAAGGACAGACAATAATGGCAACAGCTTTCATTTACTGAGAGACAAGTCCTATCCACCTCCATAAACTCATTCATTTAAGTCCAACAGTAAGGCTGTAGGTCTAGCCACTATTGTTACCTTTACTTTGCAGATAAGGAAACTGAGGCATGAAGCGTGTCCAAGGTTATCCAGCCTTTGCATCACACTGCATGAGTTTGAACCTGAATCTGGTGGACTTCAAAGTCTGTGTTCTTTGCCAATATTTACCTCTCTGACATGATCAAGGACCTAATGATGATAATAATAATGCTAAATGTCAGATATTGGATTAAATGCTTTATCTCTTTTAATCCCTATAGAGCTACCAAACTTAGAAAGAAGAGGCAAGATCCACAGTTAAATTTAAATATCAGAAGTCCCAGGTACAAGTGACAGGTGCAGGGCATGGTTCCAGACACAGGGTAGACTCGGGGCTTCACTGAACCACCGATAGGGTTGCCAGATTTAGCAAATTACAATGCAGAATGCCCAATTAAATTTGAGAAACAGCAGCTGATTTTTCAAATATGAAGTATATTCCGTGCACTATTTAAGACACTTACACTTTTAAAAAGTATTTGTTGTTTATCTGGAATTCAAATTTAACTAGGCACCCTGTATTTTCACCTGGCAACCCTAAATCAAAAAGTCTGAAATTAGGAGAGTAGTTAGGGTGTGATAGCTCACACTTGTAATCGCAACACTCTGGGAGGCTGAGATAGGAGGACTGCAAGTTCGAGCCTAGCCTGGGCGACTTAGTGACTTAGTGAGATCCTATCTCAAATTTTAAAAGGCTGAGGATATAGCTCAACGTGAAGGCCGTACAATCCCTAACACCAAAAAAAAAAAAAAAAATGAAACCAGGAAAGTATGATCCTCATTTTATGGATGAAAATAACAAAACAAAACAGGCTGAGGGGGTGAATCCTTTGCCCAAGCCCAGGGAGCAGGAAGGGAGCCGAGTGCTAAACCTGCCGAGTCCAAAGCTCTAGGTACCTGTTACCACAGCTGAGACCCTCCAACTGGCAGTGCTCTGGATAGAATCTAGAAACAGGCTTCTCTTGGACTGGATCTGAATTTAAGCCAAGGCTGGTAGGGTGGGGAGGCACAAGGGAAAGCATCTGTACAGGGCTTCACCTCCCTTCCTGCTGGGGTGCTCCATCACTGTCCAGGGGCCTAAGGGACAGGTGGGACTTACTTCCCTGGAAGATGTCTGGGCCAGTGGCAGGATTTGGGCAGTGATGGCAGTGCCCCAGGACTGCTCCTAGTCCTGAGCTGAGTCCCTTCCTGCCAGGTCCACCCAGACCAGGGCCACACTCCTAGAGAGCCATCAGCATGGATGTCTTGCAGGCTCTGAGGCAGGAAGGGACAGCCTTCAAAGGCCAGGAATGGGAACACAAAGAAAAGGCACTAGGGAAGGAAAAACAGAAGAGCAGAACAGTCTGAGATGGCCCAAGAGAAGCCAGTAGGACAAAGAACCACCTGAGAGTCACAGTGTCACTCGGAGATGGGAAGCAGCACTGACCTCTGGCCCTGTGACTGAGGCTGGGCTGCCCCAGGAGGAGCAAGGCCCACATGTCTGCCTGGAGGGGAAAGGAGTGTCCCTGACCAAGGTGACCTGGCTTGGAGAAGCAGCGGGCATTTCCAAAAGCGGGTTCCACATGCAGGAAGGTGCCACAAAAAAGTGGGGGGAGTTCTGTGGAAACTTCCCTGGCATCTTGCTTTTGGGAGCTATTTTAGAGGGGTGCTGGGGTTTCTGGCTCTCTATCAGGACCTTAGAAAGCCATAGGCAAAGAGGAGCTGGGATTCTGGGAATGCCGTGAAATAACCAGAGGGAAAGCGGCTGAAACCAAAGGTGTGTGCAGGTTCTCAGGCCACCAAAGCACTGCCTGGAGGCCTGAGGAGGGGAGGGCTCCTGCTGCCCCATTCTGTCTAAGTCTACAGTCACGTAGCCCTGCCGTGTGTGGGACATAAGGGCCTTAAGCTGTGTCCAAGTAGAAGAGACTTTGTTTAAGCTAAGTGTGGTGCACATCTGTAATCCCAGCAATCTGGGACACTAAGGCAGGAGGATCTCAAGTTTGAACCCAGCCTGGGCAATTTAACAGGACCCAGTCTCAAAATAAAAATAAAGGATTAGGGATACAGCTTAGTGTGAGGCCCTGGGTTCAACCCCTGGTACTGGCCTGGGGCAGGGGGACCATATTCCCTGCCTCTCCAGAGACCACACTGTGATGTGCGTGTGTTAGGGTGTTCAGTCACCAGCTCCCAGGCAATAGCAAGTGCAAGGAAAGGGCAGAGCAAATGCTGGAGCCTTACTTCTCCCATCTGTGGAAACTAAAGTGGGCCCTTCTTCACCTGTGGGGTGAAGATTTGGGAATGGACAGGAAATCCTAATTAGAGAATTACCACCACCAGAACACAACTCTGTCTCTGTTTCCTATCAAGGCACGGTCACAAAACAAGGCTTGCTCCCTGACTCTGCACCTAGAACCTTGATAGGGTTTTAGGTCACCCAGGCCCTGGTCTGCTGTTCTTTACTTGGACAGTGGAAGATGGGGAGAAATCATCATCTTCTGGTCCAGGTGCCTTTATGAGTCTCCTAGGGCTGCTCTAACAACCACAGGATGGCTCATAACAAGAAGAACTTTTTCTTGAGGAGTTACGGAGGCCAGAAGCCTCCAAAGTGTCAGCAAGGTTGCTTTCTCCTGGAGGCTCCAAGGGAAAATCTGTTCTGTGTATCTCTTCCAGCTTCTGGTGGCTGCTGGTAATGCTGGACATTCCTTGGCTTGTGGCACCATCAATCCAGTCTCTGTTTCTGCCATCACTTGTCCTTTTTACCTCTGTGCATATTGTTTCTGTGTATGAATTTCCATCTAATAATGATAGCGGTCATTGGATCTGGGCCCAGATTCACCCAGTAAAACCTCATCCCAACCTAACTAGTTGGGATGTAGCAAAATTCCTACTTCCAAATAAGGCCACACCCACAGGTTCCAGCTGAACTGATGAACTGGGATGCCAGAGCATCAGTCAACCCAATCTATCTCCCAGTTACCATCCTTGGGTGAGGTTAAGCATTTTCTTCTTCAGAAGAACCACCACCTTTCTACAAGAGCCAACAGCAAAGATGCCTAATGTCTATGGAGCACCTAGACAGACCCTGTGCCTAGGCTTGGCATAGAAACCTTGTCCCACTAAACTCTCATGACAGCTCATTTGGGTGGTAGCACTTATGTCTTCAGTTCACAGAAGAGGAAACCAGGCATGGATCACTTAAGTGACTCACCCAAGGTTGCACAGAGAGAGACAGACCTGGCTGTCTCCAGAGCTCTTAACCGATCCAGGCAGAGTCCCATAGCAGGACCACAGGGTCATCTGAGGAAGGACAGCCACTAAGCCCAGCTGAACCCAGGTAGCAGGCTTTGACACCAGCCTTGTCTCTCCCACTGCAGGCCCGGTACCCTCAGCTCATCAGCAGGGTAAGAGGACGAGGCACCTTTTGCTCCTTCGACACTCCCAATGACTCCATACGGAATAAACTCATTTTAATCACCAGAAACAAAGGTAAGGGGACCTGGGAGTGTCCAGCTAAGCTTCATCAATGTCCAGCATTACCTAGTGTGGGTGGAAAATTTTGCTAAGCACTGTGGGAACCATGAGGTATGTGGGGTACATGTAGCCATAGCCTGATAGTTCTTTCTTGAAAAAAGAGAATTTATTGTGGGATTCCTTTTTTTTTTTTTTCCTGTGGTGCTGGGGATGGAAGCCAGGGCCTTGCACATCCTGGGCAAGTGCTCTGCCACTGAGCTACAGCCCACCCCCTGCAGGGATTTCTGTATCCACTCAGCATGCAGCAGGTGTCCATCAGGGAGTCCAGGTCCAGCAGGAAGAGGACAGTGAATAAGCATTTCACCAGCTGTCCACTGCACTCATAAGCCCTGGGCAAGAGGAAAGGCAAAGAGAGCTGAACAGCTGGGGAAATGTGGAGGCCTGGGAAGAATTCCATGAGGAAGTGGCATTTGACCTGAAGGCTTGACAGGTGTAGGGGGAGCAACCAGGTGGAGAAGGTGAGGAAGGGCATGCTAGGTAGAGGGAAGGGCATTGCGATCACTGAGGCAGGATGGAGCTAACCGAAGTAGAGAACTAGGAAAATGGAACAAGATGGGGGCAGTCACAAATGAGAGGGATGAGGCTGGAGGAGGCCAGCCCCACCTCACATCAGATTCAAGGCTCTGGACTTTACCGGAAGAGCTACAGGAGGCCCTTGAAGAGTTTTTAGTGGGGGATATTGTGGGGCAATCAGAGTTCCTGCCATATATCAGGCACAAAATCGGATCTTTTTTTTTTTTTCCAGTATCGGGGCTCGAACTCAGGACCTTGCACTTGCAAGGCAGGCACAGGGCCACTGAGCTAAATCCCTGGCCCCAGATCTTTTCTTCTTTACAGTCCCTGCAGCAGCCCTGAAGGGCAGGGATAAGTAGCCTCATTTTAAAATGAGAAAAAGTAGTGCCGAGGTGCAACTCAGTGGCATAACTCTTGCTTAACATGGGTGAGGCTGTGGGTTCCATCTTCCAAAAAAAAGAGAAAGGATCCTAGTAATGTCTTCCTTTAAAATTAGCACCATCAGCCAGGCATAATGGTGCATGCCTATAATCCTAGTACTCTGGGAAGCTAAGCCAAGAGAACTGCAAATTCAAGCTTTCCTTGGGCAACTTAGTGACTTAGTAAGACGTTGTAGCAAGACGAAAATAAAGGGCTGGAGGGGCTGGGGATTTGGCTTAGTGGCTCCCATGCCTGCCTTGCAAGTGCAAGGTCCTGAGTTCAATCCATGGTACCAAAAAAAGAAAAAAGCACTGGGGATGTGGCGCAGTGCAAAGGCCCTGGGTTCAATTCCCAGTACTGGGTGGGGGGAGCAGGGTCTATTGCTCTGAGTGACAGCTCAGCACCTCCTACTACTTCCCACTTAACCTGAGTTTGTGTTTTCATAATTTGTTTGGTGGTAACTTTCTCACCCTCCCTCTCCCCACACACCATGAGGTTCTGGCCAGCAAGGACTTTACCTCAGGGTTTCTTTATCATCCACCCTAGCGCGTGAGAAGGACAGCAAGCATCCAAAGCCGGGAGGGAGGGAGGAAAGAAAAGAAAAGGATGGGTGGATAGATGAGGGAGAGAGAAGGAAAAGAAGAATAGGTGAGTGGGTGGAAGGTCAGGGGCGGCCTGGTGGAAAGATGGTGGGTGGAGAAGGGTGGTCGGTGTGTGTCACTTCCCTGCCAGCCCTGGGAACCAAACACCGAACTTACACTGTGATCACAAAATATGGTGAATGTTTAAATTTTTTAAATGTATTACAATAAAGGACATACCGGCACTAATCCCCCTCAAAATTATCCCTCTAGTTGGGAACATACTTCTCCCATCGTTCTTGCCACTTTCGGAAGCAGGTCTGGAAGTCCTCTTTCCTGAGTATCTCTTCATGGCTGCATTGATGGCCTGAATCAATTCATGTTTACAGAAATTTCTGTCAAATAAAAACATTTGATGTATCTTTTTCCACTGTATTCACCGGATCTGGCACTGTGCAACTTCTGGCTCTTCTCCTAAGTCAAAATGACCATGAAAGGTCAATGTTTCAAATCAATTCAGGACATCGAGGCAGCCAGGACAGCACAACAGAGGACACTCACAAAAGAGGACTGCCAGAACGGCTTCAGAAGGTGACAAAGAATGATAAGCGTGTTCAAAGTGAGGAGGGGTACTTTGAGGTGTATTAATGGCAATGTCTTCTATTGTAATCAATTCATTAAAATTTAAATTCACCCTTTTTTTATCCTCCTGCCTTTTCTCCCAGGTGTGGTGTTGGGAGGCTGTGGTGACAAATCCATCCGTTTCCGTCCCATGCTGGTCTTCAGGGAACACCACGCTCACCTGTTCCTCAATATCTTCAGTGACATCTTAGCAGACTTCAAGTAGAGAAGTCATTTCCACTGAGAAAGCCCAGTCTCAACAGTTGTCAAATTGATTCGTTTGCCTAATTCATGTTTTCACTTACAAGTGTCAGAGGTGAATGCACAAACAGAAAGGTTATTTGTGGGGAAGGGATGTTTTGGGTGGCTATGGGGACGGCAAGGGAAGGGCTGGTTTTGAGTTTCCTGCCTGGAGAGCCAATGGTGCACATTGGTTGAACCCCAGAAATTCTGCTTGAGCCCTGGACATAGTCTTGGGAAGGGCCATGGGGGTCCTGGACATATTTCTGCCCACCTGTGACCAACCCCAACAATCTCTTTGGAAGCCAGGCAAGGGAGTCGCACCTGCTCCTAGGACTGGTAGCCAGGACTCTTGGATTCTGGTTCATCTCAGGCATCCTATTTGGTGATCAGATGCTGGCTTCCCCTCGTCCTACAGAAGCAATTTCTCTCTCACCTTCTCACCCAGCCCCCATGCTTCAAGTGCCCCATCTAAGGTTCAATGGGACTGAATGGCTCATAAGAAGGCAATGATATGGGGACATGAGGACAGAGCTTGGGGCTGGGGAGGGGGCATCTGGCCTCCTGGTGAGGTGGACCACCCCTCAGTCCAACTGGGGGTATCTCTAAACTGTGAATTCTGTCCTTGAGGGCCTCAGCCCTGGAGGAGCTCTGGGTGGCATCATCTATGGTTCTTATTCAACAGCCTCCACTTCCCCAACACATGTCAGCCTGCAGCAGTGTGGGAGGAACCTGCAGCCTGAGTGCCCAGGGGACACACTTGAGCCAAAAGGGCAAAAGCACAAGCCTATCACCCCAGAAGCATAGGCCAGATCCTCTTGGGGTCTGACTTGGGTCCCCTACCCTGGGGGGCTCTCTCCAGCTTCTCCTCACCATCTTCACTTTGCTTCTCAGCAGAACTGTTCCATCAGAGGGGCCATTGCTGGACTCAGTTTCCTCTTGAGGGAAGTGCCATGAATTAAAGGCACCAGAGCTCCACACGTGCAAAGGTAGCCTGTTGATTCAAGGTGGCTTTCTTGTCCTTGCCCCTGAAATCTGAGCTTTTCTTAAGATGCCTGAGCCTGGAGACCAGCAGGCAGACAATAAAATGCTTAAAGCGGCTGTGACGGAGGCTCCAGTGTCTCTCCGAGAGGTGAGACATTCTGGGAACTGATTTGACCTCAAATGCTCCTACACAGAGCACTTGATAGTCCTACGGCTATGAGACATTATTTAGAGGGCAGACTGGGGGAGTCTCACTTGGCCTCCTGGTGCCTCGGTTGACTAATTTGGAAAATGGGTATGTCAAGATTCCTGATTTAGTAATTTGCTGTTTTAATAACTAATCATCCAGGGGCCGCGGATTTAGCTCAGTGGTTCCGACGCTTGCCTTGCAAGCACAAGGACCCGAGTTCGATCCCCGCTACCAAAAAAAAAAAAAAATCATCCAAAGATTTAGCTTCCACTCTTCCTCAGTCTCAGTCATCAACCTCTTTTTGTTGAGAATGAAAGGCACTGACTTATTTAACAGACATGGACAGATCCACCGACTCTGGTTTGCTTTGGACTCCTTTGGTCAGCAGCTCATCTGCCACTTTTCATATGGAGTTCTGCCATGTTCAAGGTCATCTGCACTGCCAACTAATGAGGATCTATGCCTCCCTCTCTCTGCAAGGTTTCATTCATCTGTGTTTATTTACATTCCGTCTTCCCTCACTCATCAGACTTTCATGAAATACCTGCTCCATCCCAGGCCCTGTGCTAAGCACCAGGAATACAAACATGAAATAAAAGGGACTCACATCCCATTGGGAATAACAGACTCAAACCAATAATTAAACCAGAGTGGCAAGTATAGTAACAGCAAAAGAACAGATAAGTCAGAGAGAACCCGAATCCTCCTAAGGGTCAGAGAAGCTTTCAAGGAGAAGGGGACATTTGAGCATGGTTTTGCAGAATGAACAACAGTTCACCAAGCAGACAAGGCAAGGAAGAATACTACAGAAAGGGAAGAGTATGTGCAAAGGCACGTAAGTTCATGGTCTCACACCTTTCAGTAGGGAGCCAGATTCCACAGACAATAACCCACGGCTCAAGACCTTATTCAACAACCAGGAAAAATGCAAACCATCATTCATTTATTGGCTTAAGTATGTTCCTTCTGAGAACTTCAGCACTGGGTGCCAATATTCAGTAAGGTTCTTGGAGTCCAAAGGGTTTTCAGCCAGGACACAGCTGGAAACAGTGGAAGGAGTGGCTGTAATATTTTGTTCTCTCCCCCTGGGGCACTGACAGAGGAATGAAATCAGTTTATCTGGAAAATCATTTCCAGATTTGTTATTCACTCCTTAAGAAAGGAAGTTACTTTTAAAAAAAAAAAAAAAAAAAATTAAGCCATTTGCCAACAAGTTCTTGTGTACTCAGGGCATGATGAGTTCCTGAGACATCTTCTTTAGGGGACTAGTTTAGCTAGAATTTCAACATAAGGATTTTGGCAGAGCTCAAGATTACAGCAACTTGGAAGACATTGGAGGAAACACGGGAAGCCCCGTAGACAGGCTGCTAAGGCAGAGCCCGTGAGGAAGAGCTTCTGTGGCCAACAGCTTCTGTGGGACATAAACCATCATGTGTTAGTACCATAAAGTTTAGTCAGTGTCTCTAGCAAGTATTGTCACTTTTACAGAAAACAAGGTCCAATACTAGCGAGTCTTAGCACATCCTCCCTTTTATTATAAATGGGTGTTTTTTATAATTTTTACTGACACTCAGTAACCATGCAAAGTTGCGCACATTAATATGTCTACATATATCTATACCTACCTATATCTACATATATATAAGCTCATGGTAGAAAACCATAGCTAGGGAGCATTGCAGACTTAATGCATACCAAGTGATCTTGTTTACAGTATTCTGTTGACAGTGCCAATAAATAAGGAAATTAACATGTCACAATGTAACTGATGACAACATGCACAATTCCGTGAATTAAATGTTTCCTGTGTTAATCAGTATTCTTAAATTAAAAAATTACTTATAATGGAAACATCAGAGTGAAGTGGACTTTTTGGGTTGGAAATTACTTTGTCAAATAACTGTTTGACAGGTATTTGTTAAGCACCTATTAAGCACTTTTTTCTTTTCTTTCTTTCTTTTCTATTTCTTTTGGTACCAGGGATGGAACTCAGGACCTTGGGCTTTCGAGGCAGGCACGGTGCCACTGAGCTAAATCCCCGGCCCCTCTTTCTTTTTTGTACCGAGGATTAAACCCAGGGCCTTTCCACTAAGCTACATCCCCTGCCTTTTTTTTTCCTTTTTGACAGGGTCTCACTAAGTCACTCAGTTGCCCGGGGTTGGGCTTGAGCTTTCAGTTCTCCTCCTGAGCCTCCCGGAGTGCTGGGATTACAGGTGTGCGGCACCTTAGCGATGTCATGGGGGACACTCTGCCTGTATACATCACTTCAGGCCTAGGAATTAGGCATTTTGTCAAGTTCATCAAGGACATACCACGTGACAGAGATGCCAGGGCGGACACAGTGTGGTGGTCCTGACCCTCAGCTCACATTCTAGCAGGGGAGCAGGCCCCACCACCCAGTGTCAGAAGGGGACCAGTACGGATGCTGCAGAAACAAAAGGCCAGGCCCAAGCCAGGCAGGGTGTAAGTCAGAACCTTCCCCCTTCAAGGCTGAGCAGGAACTGGCTGCTGACTGAGCAGAGGACAGAGGAGTAAGAACACAGCCAGGCAGAGGCAAAGAGGCAAGGGACATGCATCCTGAGGTCAGAATTGCTCGATCACAAGGAAAGGAGCCCAGAGGAGGCAGGAGAGGAGGTCAGAGAAGGAGGCAGGGCATGGCTCCTCCACAGCCTTCCATGTCGGGGACGGGGCCACCACAGGTTTGCAGCAGGGCGGGCGGGGGGCGGGGAGATCATCCCTGGACATTTTAGACGTGTTCACTGTGAGAAACAGGGAGGCTGGGAGAGTTGTCAGGAATCTGTCACAGTAACAGTGGCCTGTGGTCTGGACAAGGGAAGTGATAATAGGGGTGGAGAGAGAGAGAAAAGCACCAAATTCAGAGCGTGGGAAAGCAAGTCTCTAAAGAGCTTTTATAAAAATCCTCCACTTGGGCCTCACCCCAACCAATCAAATCCGATTTTCCCTGCTGCCCATAGAGGTGCTAAGCTGATGACCTATGGGAATAAACCGGGAGGCAGAAAGAATACAGGGAAGGCAGAGGCGCTTAGTGGCCCTCCCGGTGTCACGTGGCAGCTGCCTCTGTTCCCAGCTGTCACAGTGGTCCTCTAGGTCCTTATTTTTCTCATCTGTGAAGTGTACAGTTTGGACACATATTTCCAAGGTTCCTCCCAGCTCAGACCAAGAAGTCTAAGAAGCAACTGATTTAGAGGTAAAATTTACCATTCCTTGGGGGGGGGGGGTCTTGCCATGCAGTCCAGAGGTCTTGAATTCCTATGTAACCCAAGCTGGCCTTGAACTTGAAATCCTCCTGCCTTAGGCTCCCAAGTACTGGGATTACAGGTGTGCCCACCACCTGTAATGTATTTATTAATCACATGTAAATAAAATAATTAGTTTTGAACATCTATTACATCAAGCATATTGTATTGGTGCTTTGTAATTTTCACAAATCTATGTGGCGTGTACTTACAAATGCTTATTTATTTATTTTTGGAAGTCCTGGGGATGAAACCCAGGGCCTTGTGCATGCTAGGCAAGAGTTCTCTTACTGAGCTACAGCCTCAGCTCTGTATGGCCATGTGTGTGTGTATGTGTGTGTGTGTGGTACTGGGGACTGAATGCAGGAGCTTCACACTGAGTTATATCCTCAGCTCACTTCTTTTTTATATTTTGTTTGGAGTCAGGGTTTTGCTAAGTCATTTAAGTTGCCAGGTCCAGGCTTGAACTTGGAATCCTCCTGCCTCAGCCTCTCAGAGTATTAGAATACAGGCATGCACCACCTCTGTATGTGGAAACTGAAGCAGGAAGAGATTAGGGGTACCTGCCCCAAATTACACAGCTTGTAAACCAGGATTTGATATGCACAATCTATAAGATATATCAGGGTTTAGACAAATACAAGTGTATGGTTGGGTGTGTGGCACACACCTGTAATCCCAGCACTCAGAAGGCTGAGGCAGGAGGATCACTGTGAGTTCAAGGCCATCCTGGGCTACACAGTGAGTTCAAGGCCAGTCTGGAATACACCCAAAGACCTTGTCACTAAAAACTAAAACAACAAAAACAAAATAGATAATGCACATACACCACATGCAGCTGGAAAAGGATGGGTTGAAGGTAAGGAGTGTCAAACATTCAAGGAACTTTCAGCTGGGTTGGGCACCAGCCTTGGAAAATCAATGTGAACTGGTTGGCATAAGTGTGAGCTCTGAAATGCACATTTCTAAAGCAGCTAACCTAACCCTAAGTCACCAGAACTGCAAGTGCAAATACTCTAAAAAGTCAGTTTTCTGTAGACCGTCCCGGTAGGCAGAGCACAGCAGTAGAATGTCCCAGCCCTGCTGCTCTCTAGCTGGGTGACTGTCACCTCTCTAAGCTTCATGTGAAACACAAGTGATTATAGCAAACACTGACATTCACCCAGTGCTTCCCAGGAATAAGGGCTCTTCGTGCAGTCGGCCGTTCAGTCCTCCCCACAGTAAGTACTGTTTTCATTTCACCTCCCAAATGAGGAAACCAAGGGGCAGAGAAAGGTCCCACCTGGGAGGCAGTGGCGCTGGGATCTTGTTCAGAAACCATGTGCTTCAGCCCTCCATTCTCGGACTCAGACGGTTGCCAGCAGAGTGAAATACAATCATGTACTAATTGCCTGGTATATAGAAGGTATTTAATACAGGGTAGTTCCTTTTGACACTGCTTCTCTGTGACTAGCTAAGTGTAGCTCACATATAATTCTAACATTATATTTCTGCTGTGAGACCTAACTAACTCCATTTTAAAGTTTGACTCCATCTTAAAATAAGACAGTGAAGTGGCCTTGACATAAATTCCACTTCACTGAAGTCAACTATTCCCCTAGTCTCCTTTGTGCCCATAAAATAATGATAAAATGTCCTTGCTGTGGGACAACAGATAAAAAAAAGAGACACAGTTCCTAACTCAATCCTCTGTCTGCCCAGAAAACAGATGCTCCCGGGCCCATTATCTATAGAACATTGTGTCAATGTGCTGATTGTTCCTTTTTCCCATAAACTCTACATGTAGCCACCCCTCAACGCCCCCCCTCCATGTACACCCCATGCTTGCTAAATATCAACCAATCATGTAACTGCTAAATGGAACATCCCCAAACCTTGCGGTAGCCGCAATAAAACCCTGCTGGTTTAAAATTCGGGGCTCTCAATCCTGATCCGCTGCATCGGTGACGGTTGAGTGCCCCTGCTCGAGCTTGAATAAACGACCCTCGTGTGTTTACATCGGAATCGGCTCCTTGGTGGTCTTTGGGGACTTCACGATCTGGGCACAACACCGTCAGAGCTAAATTCCCACCTGTAAATATTAAAGTTATTTCCCAACAAAGGTACAACTAACTGATATGAATATTTTAATTGTTAATCAGTAAAATGGATGTTTTGTCCCCTGGGGCTAGTACAAACACAGCCAGATGGTATTGGTCCTGCCTGATTAACTCTAATCAGGCAGGGTTTTATAGTTAAATGCTGCAGGATCAAAACAAGACCATAAAAGTTGGACTTCGCCTGGGACTCAGAGGGACCCTGTTGCTTTCCATTTGGAACTCATGCTCCCTAGTCATAAAACGGCAACTAAAGGAGAACTGCACCCTGACTTATTTGGCACTTTATCTTAGGCTGCCCTGACAAACAGTTCTGCCCAACAAATCTGCTCTGGGGAGGGCATTAAACACAGGGATTTGATGATGGGCTGGGGGATGTGAGAGATACCTGGGCCAATGACAAGATCAGTCTCATTTTGGAGATGGGAGAAAAACAGCTACCATGGGGTTGTTTGTTTTGTACTACATGATGTGCAAACCAAGACCAGACCTCAGCAAGGTTTGGGTGATGACCATGGCATACTACAGACCACCCTGCGTCCTGCAACTAAAGGACACATGCCCACAGCATGTGGGAGGGGGGCAAAGTCAGTGAGCAGACAGGAAGGAAAGCCATTGCACAAGGGATAGACACAGTTCCAGCACAAATGCTGGTTTCCTGTCCTGTCTATCCAGCTTCTAAGTCCAGAACAGGAATTCAAATTTAGGAAACTTAGGGGGTGGGGATGTAGCTCAGTAGCACTGTGCCTGCCTCACAAGTGTGAGGTCCTGAGTTCGATCCCTGATACTGAAAAAAAAAAAAAAAAAAGGTTGGGAAACTTTTTTCTGTTTGGAAAGTTGGCATGAGGGAGGAGGGACGGACTGTGTTTATTAGTGCATTTTTCTTCATTCATGAAGACAAATAACACGCTCATTATGAAAACTGTAAGCATTATCAGAAGGATACAAGGTTGAAAGTGGAAGACCTATTGTTTCATCCAAGCCCCCCCCCACCCCAAGTCCTCTCCCCAGGGGTAACCACTGTAAACAGTTCGCAAAGTATGTATTTTTAAAAAACAGCACAAACAAGATCATCCAGAACTATATATATGCCTCAGGCCAAGCCTGAAGATGGCCCTTCTTCTCCTTCCTACTCCCTTTCTCCTCCATAATTAGAGAGTCAAACAGACACCTTGTAGATGCTGGATGGCATAGCCCCAGGAGAGTTACATTTTGTATCCTTCTTCCTTGTTCCTCAACGGGACAATCACATTGCGGTCAGCATAGGCCACATGGGCCACGTGGCACTAGTTACCTCACCGTCCTACACTATAAATAAAGAGCGCACTGAATGCCAGGTGGCTATTAGCGCATCAGGCTATGGTCCCACCTGGTCCCAGCTATCAAGAATAATCTTGGTGGGCTGGAGATTTAGCTCAGTGGTTCTGCCGCCTGCCGCGCAAGGTCCCAAGTTCAATCCCCAGTACCAAAAAAAAGAGAATAATCTTGGTCTCTTCGCTGTCTTTTCTTCATCTCCCACTGCTCTCCCCGGCTTCGGACCCTATGCTGTGCAGGTCGCGGCATATATATATATATATATATTTTTTTTTTTCTTTTACTTAACAATAACCCATGGTCCCCTTTTCACATCCGCAGATATAGGCTGACCTCATTCTTTTTAAGGGCCATGTGTCATTTCACAGTGTGGATCTAGCAACATTTATGTGACTGTGTGGCTTACTAATAGAAACTTAATTTCCTATTTATTTTTGACATTGGAAATATTTCAGTGACCATCCTTACATGCATGCCTGGTTATTTCTATTAGATTATTGCTATAGACTGAATATTTATGTCCGCCTTCCAGTTTGAGAAGTGATTAAGTCATAAGGGTGGAGCCCTCATCAACAGTATTAGTGCCTTTATAAAGGGACCCTGGAGACTCCCTCACTGCTGCTGTGTGACAGTGCAGATAGAGATGGCAACCATGAGTCAGGAAATGGCTCCCACCAAATAATCTGCCTCATCTTAGACTTCCAGCCTCCAGAACTCAGAAATGTTTGTAGTTTATGATGTTTTTATAGCAGCCCAAAGGAACTAGTACAATTATTATTTTGGAATTTTTTAAAAGGAGAGAATCACCAATATATCCACTCCCAGAATATAAAGACCACTTCCATTTCTTGGAGACACTGCTTTACCATCAATGGTATGGCTATGGGTGAGTCAAACTTGGCTACCTTCAATTACATGGGAAGCATAAAAACACAGATCCCCAGGTTTCACCAGACTCTACAAGGGTTGGGCACAGGGAACTTTTGTTGATTTTGGATTTTTTTTTTTCTTTTGGTACCGAGGATCAAACTCAGGACCTTGTACTTGTGAGGCAGGAGCCAGAATCACTGAGCTAAATCCCCAGCCCAGTATTTTTTTTTTTCTTTTGGTACCGGGGATCAAACTCAGGCCCTTGCGCTTGTGAGGCAGGTGGCGGAACCACTGAGCTAAATCCCTGGCCCTGAGATTTTGGATTTTTTGAACAGCTCCCAGGTTCTGCCCTACAGAGGCAGAGGTCACAGAGGTCCTAGCCCATTCCCATTGCTGCAGGGAGAGCTGATTCAAGCTCAGGAATAAAGGTGTGGAATGAGGCTCTTGCTCTGTGTGGCCTCTGCTGGCACCATGTCAGCAGATCACACATAGAAGGCCAAGCTGGGGAGCAGCTGCTATCCCTCTGGAACAAGCCCCTTGCAGGCTTACCAGTGTGGTGACCCTTCAAGGGAAATGGACAACCCTGCCTGCACCCCAGAATCCCCTGGCGAACCCTGCAAACAATAGAGCCTGGTCACAGGCCTGGGCAATGCTTTGAGAGTGGCACCATCATAAAACTTTATGGAACCACGTGCCACTTACCCTGAAGAAAGAGCTGGCACTTCTGAGCGGCTTGAGGCCCTCCGGGCCTGATGGGCCACCACCAGGCTGTGGGACACACCAACAAAATCAGTGCTTGCCAGAAGGTACCCCTGTACCCCGGCTCCTCCATCTAGAAAAACCACAGCCATACTTGTCCTGTGGATGCCCAGGATTCCCAAACATCTGTGGGGCAGTCACACTCCCCAGAAAACCTCCAGCTGCCAGGAATTAACATGCAGTGGGAACTGTACGAACGAAACAACTCTTACTATATTTTTTCATTATCTCAATTGAAAGTGAATAAAATTTAAAAGGAGCTGTTTCCTCTTGGTTCTGAACACCTCTCAAAACTTTCTTTCACTGTTCTCTTGCTTTTCTCCAACTTTCTAAGGTTTCCCATGGTGACTAGGATAAAATTCAGGCTTTTCCCCTTAGCAAAGAACCACACTGCTGCCCAATGCCAAAGCACAAGCTTGCTGTTCCCTTGGTGCCACCTTCTGCTCACATGTCAGGTCCCGGCTTATGTATCACTCCTGCAGATGCTGGCATGCCCTTCCCTCAGTCACGCCCCCCTGCCATCTTGCCCCAGCCCATCCGAACCTTCCATTTGTCACCACCTGTAATTACAAACATTTATTTGCTTAACACATTCCCCATCCATCCACATATACACACACACCAAAAACATTCGACTAAGTTCCACAAGGCCAAAAATCTATTAACTGCATTGTCTGACACGAGACAGATACTCACGAGCCAGGGATTTAGCTCAGTGGTTCCGCTGCCTGCCTCGAAAGCACAAGGACCAGAGTTTGATCCCTGGTACCAAAAAAAAAAAAAAGACAGATATTCATGAGGTTTGGGCAGAATGAATAACTAATTTGAAAGACTGGAGGGAAAAACTGTCTTGCTACATGCTTTACTTGCTTCTCCAAAATGGAATCAATGAACTAAGAAAGTCTAACTTGTTCCACATTGCTACTTTCCACCCCTTAGGATGGCTAGTATCAAAACATGGAAAATAACCAGTGCTGGGAAAGATGTTGAGAAACCTGACCCCCTGTGGACTGCTAGTCAGAATATAAAACAGTACAGCTGGCCAGGGATTTAGGTCAGTGGTTCCACTGACTGCCTCGCAAGCACAAGGTCCCGAGTTCAATCCCCAGTACCAAAAAAAATAAAACAAAACAGCCACTATGGAAAAGTTCAACAAAGAATTACCACATGCTATGGTTTAGAAGTATCTGCCAAAGGTCCATGTGTTAAATGCCTGACTGCCAGCCTGTGTCACTACTGGGAGGTAGTGAAACCTTTAAGTGGGGCCTAGCCAAGTGTGTTGGCATATGTCTATAACTGTGGCCCTCTGGGCGGCTGAGGCAGGAGGACTGAAAGTTCTAGCCCAGCCTGGGCAACTTAGTGACTTAGCAAGACCTTGTCTCAAAACAAAAAATAGAAGAGACTGGGGAGGTAGCTCAGTGTGAAGGCCCTGGGTTCAATCCCCAGTAGCAATGTGCAGCCTAGGAGAAGGAATTTCCTGGGAGTGTGCCCTTCAATGGGAAATGGAAAGTCTGGTCCCTTCCTGTCTTTCTTTTTGCTTGCTGGATACCAGGAGGTGAACAGGCCTCCTTCATCACATGCTCCCAACATGTCTCACCACAGGTTCAAAGCAATAGGGCCAAGTGCCTATGGACTGAATCTTCAGAACCACAAGCCACAATAAGCCAGGGGTTTTGTCTATTGGTTTTATTTGTTTTGGTACTGGTGATCAAACCCAAGGATGCTCTACCATTGAACTACATCCCAGCCCTTTTTTTTGAGATGGGCAAGAGAGGGGGTTCTGTTTCAGATGATGTAAAAGTTTTGGAAACAAATAGTGGTAACAGATGTACAACACAATAATGTACTTAATGTGCCTGAACTGTACATTTTTGGTTAAAGTATATTTTCATCATATAAATTTTATTATAATATATGCCTGGAAAGCTACACACTAAAGTTACTGACTTCTAAGTGGCAAAAATTATGGACTGTAACTTTTTCTTCTATATTTGTTAAAAACTGTATAACATAATTATTAAGCATGAGAAGCAGTGTTTACAATCACCTTTAACTTGGTGATGCGCTGGCATAGAGTTCGCCTGGGTTATACCGCAAAGCCTTCAATGCAAGATCGCCTGGGCTCTCAGCTGGAGGGCTGTGCTCACGTGAACGTCCCCGCCCCAGTCCGTGTGTGGGTGTGGGGACTACCCCAGCAGAATGACAGGCGCCCACCCCCAGCTTCACCCCAGTCCCTTCTGCTGCTGGGTATGTAACGGGGCACAGCACAGGCTCTGGAAATCCCCGCTCTCAGCCTGAGTCTCCCGCCATGCTGTCATCTCTGCCCAGTTCTGAGCTGCTGATCGTGCAAAGCCCCTGGCAGTCACTGTGGGTTTTGCAGTGCTGGGATGGAACCTAACATCTTGCACACGTGAGGCAAGTACTCCACCACTGAGCCACATGGCAGCCTGACATGCATTGTTTATTTTCACGGTGATACCACATGTCATGCAGGACTTTCCATTTGTCAGATAAGAAAACCAAGGTTCAGATACCATACCCTGCCCAAGCCTCGGAGCTGAGAACTGACAGAACCCAAGGCCCCTGACTCCAGTTCCTCTGCTTCCCTGCCACACCCTCTGCCTTCCAATTTCATAGCAGTGGCGGTCTCAGTGAACCCCGCACAGCTTCATCCAAGAACTGCCTCTTCAGAAACTTCTGCCTGAATGTCAGGCATCTTTTTCCTAAAACTGGTTATTACCTTCTGTCTCACGAATCTCCCAAAAGATGAGTTCCCAGGGCCCCTGACATCACTCTGCTTCAGCTTTGCCCTTGCCTTTGGCCTTCCTGTCAGAGACCCAGGTGGTGCCCCAGCTCCCAGCTGTTCACTTACGTGTGCCCACTTCCCCAAAAATCTGAGTGAATCGCTCTCTGTCCACAATGTGCCCATAAGGTAGAGTGAGGTAGAAAGTCTGCTTCCCGGTGTACTGCTGGATGCACATCAACATATCCTGGGGCCTCTGGTTGGATTCTGTCAGGGGCATCACATCCAGCACAGGACAGTATGTGTCCTGCCGCCAGCCCCAGAAGGACAGGTGAGACACTCGCAGCACTGTGCCGGATTCGTTCACATACAGGATGCCCACCAGCCTCCGGAAAAAGTAGCTCATCCAGCACAGCATGGCCAGGGCGAAGCCAGCAATCCCAGTCGCTAGGCACAGTGAGTTAAGAGTCAAGTGACCCTGCGAGTACCAGTAGTAGCCTGGTGGCAAGGCTAGCACCGACATGGCTGTCTGTGCCACCTTCAACCGAGATATGACCCCAAAGGCTCTGATTGCATTAAAACGGTAGATGATCAGAAATTTCTCTGTCTCTGTGCCTGGTGGTTTCTCCTCTGAGGTGGGTGACCGCTTCCCCATCCACCTCTTGGGACTCTCCTGCCTACTGCAGTACCACAGCCTGTGAAGAGGCCTTGCCTGTGCAGCTGGTCCCTGCAACCTCAGCACAGCTCGGAGGAGGGGAGCCTAGAAGAAAGAGAGGAGATATTTTTTCACGGGACTCAACCATGTTGATCACACAATGAACATCTGCAAAGTGTCCGACAGGCAACTCCTGACAATCTTGTAAATTCACCATCACAGCCAGAGAAGGGGAGAAAGGTAAAGCCAGATGCTTTGTTTCATGTACACTTCACAAACGTGTGAACAAATACCATTACTTCCATCTTATCACTAAGGAAAATAAGCCCAGAGAGGGTAAGAAACTCATCTAAGGACACACAGTAGAATGAATGGAGCAGAGTCTGGCTCTCAAACTGATCCTCTTTCCGCAACGCAGTTCCAAGCAAATATAGAAAAGAAGGCATAGCTTCATTCATTCAACAAAGACCTAGGGAGGGCAAACACTGGGCTGAACACTGGATACACAAAGCTGTGTAAACATTTTTCCAAGCTGCAAACTATTCAGTGTCCTAGTGATAAACTCAAGCAACAAATCTGGGAGATATTTATCACAACAACTGTGTAGTTCTCTGCCCAGTTTGTGCATTATCCTTGAGCTGGAGAATACGGCTGTTTTCTACTAGGCTAGTGGGGTGAGGGGGCAGCAGAGAAGAAATGAGGCAGGGACTGCGCGACATGATTTTATTAGTAGGGCCGGGCATTTAGCTCAGTGGCACTGCGCCTGCCTCGCAAAAACAAGGTCCTGAGTTCGATCCCAGGTACAAAAAACAAACACGGATTTTATCAGTGAGCAGTGCAGTGGGAAGAGCTCAGGGCTTTGGAGTCGGATGTGGATTCCAATCCTGGCTCCAACAATCATTAGCTGTGGATTCTTGGGAAAGTTAGTCCACCTCTCTGAGCCTTACTTCTTTACTTTTCAAAAGAGATTTAGAAAACATCCAAAGAGATAACGGTTGGTTATACAGCCCTCAACTCAGTAACTACCGCATGAGCCCTCTGCGAATTGTAGCTACCAGGGTGGTTGGTCCACGTGAGCTGCGTGGAACAGAGGAAGCTGGGGGACAACAAATAGTAACCCACCCTGGGCTTTCTCCTGCAAACTACCCGAGTCAGAAACCCAGGAGTCCTGCCTCCCAGCCCCAGCTGCGACCCAGGGCCCCCAAAACATGTCACTACCCTCACCGTTCACCAACCTCCTCCTTACCATGGTCCAACGCTTGCTGCCGGAAGTAAATCCCACGACCCCCGGAACTCTAAGAGCGCAGGGTCGGATGTAAGAGGCTTGCGTAGTGCGCGTTGCATCTTGGGAGTCGTGGTCCCGGGACAGCACCTGATGCTATTCCTAGGCATTATGGGACTCTGTGGGCTTCTTCTCTTCCCGACATGCGCTGCGGCCCGGTAGCCAGACCCGGAAGTTCCGGGCTGAGTTCCTGCTGCCAACAAGTCGTTAGGTGTGCACAGAAACCGGAGAGATGGCGATGACCCTTCCAGCGCTGTGCCTCTTCGATGTGGATGGGACGCTGACGGCCCCGCGGCAGGTAGGCAGCGCTCGGCAGACTGGTGGCTGCTAGTGCAGCGCCCTGCCGCTCCCATCAGGGTCTCCTGACCACCCGGGGTGGGCGCCGAGGGGCGACTAAGGGGCATCTCCCCATGCAGTGAGCTCAGTCTTCATTCTAGAGGATTGAGACGGAAGATCTAACCGGCTGTTTGAGACCTCAGTGTACTCAGAGAGCTAAGATGGAGCTAAAAGACTCTTAAGACCAAGAAAGTCTTAAAATGCAGGGGTTTGGAAAATGCAGGTGTGGACTTAACTTCAAGCCCTGGGGCCTGATGGACCTGAATTGGAACCCCATCACAAGCCCTTTTACCAGCTATGTGACCTCCTTATCCTGTCACCTGTGAGCTATACCATGTAGCATGATATTAAAAACATCGGTTTCCAGGTCAAACCGACCTAGTGGAGGAGTCTCAGCTTCACCTCTTGACAGCTGTGTGACCTTGAGCAAGTCTGTTAACCTCTCTGAGCCTCCCCAGCTACAGCTTTCAGTGGGATCATTGCCTGTTCCATATGGTGTTTTTGAGGATCTAATGAAATCGCGTAAGTTCATGAAAGTATCTGGCACAGACTCGACCTCAAACGTTAGCCATCTCCACAGCCCCTGCAGTGGATGGGGGTGATGGGAGGAAGCCTCGGTCATGCCTGCTGAGAGCATCCGTGGACCCTGGAAAACTTGCTTCTTGTTCCCAGATTTTGCTGCTGCAGTCACTGTTAAGTTTCCATTAAGAACAGCCTTATGGCGAGGCTTTGACTGCGCTCTTTACGGAGTGCTCACTGAACTCCACCCATTCAGACTGGAGATTGGGGCCAAATGGCCTTGCAGTCCTCAGCTTCTACCCTATGCTCTTTAGCTTTGGTGAGGTGTGCTCTGGAAGTCCACATCTGTAACCTTAGATGTATCATTTTACTTTCCTGACTTGGGTTGTTAAAGAGTTCACAGGGATTTAGGGCTGGGATCCACAGTTCATTTTTTGTAAAGGGCCACACAGTAAATACTTTCAATTTTGCAAACCATATGGTTTGTAGTAACTACTCAACTTTAGTGCAAAAGCAGGCATAGATCATATGTAAACACAGTGACTGTGTTCCAATAAAACTTGAATACAAAAGCAAACAGCTGCTCAGTTTGTGGCCACAGGCCATAGTGATCTAGATCTAGGGTTTACATTTCTAATCACAATGTTGGATACTCTCAGTCTTCTTTCATCATTTGTCCCAGGTGGAATAATTGTTACTACCATTTTAAACATAAGGAAACTGAGGCCCTCTGAAGCTCTGACCTCCTCAGTTTCACACAGTAGACCTTGTGCAAGTCCCTGGGCCTCAGGGCATTGCTGTTTGTAAGGTTTACTGTGCTGAGATGGAAGCTGTTCTGGGTGTTAGGTATGCTGTTCTGTTTGGAAGAGTGCTGCTTGCTGCTTCCTAAAAAGAATCCCAATATGTATGCATAAAATACAAAATAACAAAAGAAACCATGTGACTTAGAATGTGTTTCCTTGAAGCATGGTATGCCTCATGCATGCTAGGCAAGATTTTGTTTCGTTTTGTTTTTTGGAGTCAGGGTCTCACTGTGTAGTTCAGGCTGGCCTTGAACTCACTATGTAGTCCAGGCTGGCCTTGAACTTTCGAGAGATTTTCCTGCCTCAGCCTCCCAAGTGCTGGAATTATAGGGGTGTGCCACCACACCCATCGCTATAAATAATTTTAACACTCAAAAAATAAATAAAATCTAGCTGGGCATGGTGCACACAAGTAATCCCAGCACTCAGGAAGTTGGAGGAAGAAAGATCACCATAAGTTCAAGGACAATCTGAGCTCCACAGTGAATTCAAGCCCAGCCTGAACCACATAGCAAGACCATCTCAAAAAATAAATAAATAAAATAAAATATATAATTTAAAAGAGAATTTTCCTGTAGGCTGGGTACATTAGGTAAAAGTAATTTAGCCTCAGATCTACTGATCATAGTCTTTCCCTCCTCAATGTATATGCATTCTCAAACACTGAAAAACATAACACAAATACAATCTGAAAGAGAAAGTGAATTAATCTTTTATTTCAGTTCCTAAACAGGATATGAGCCAAACAGGTAAAATGTAATTAGCATAGACTTCAGAGATTTGCATATTTTACTGTTTTAGTAGAAGTTTGCTGTGCTGCATACTTTCCTAAAAATACCATTCCATCTAAAATCAATTGGGAGGGCCGGGGATTTAGCTCAGCGGTTTTGATGCCTGCTGCACAAGCGCAAAGAGCCAAGTTCGATCCCTGGTACCAAAAAAAAAACAAAACTAAAATCAATTGGGACTTAGAACAAAAGTCAACAAACAGAAAGGGGTATAAACCCAGGTGAATCCTTTTCTAACTTTGCATCATGAAAATTTCAAACACAAATCATTAAGAATAGTACAAAGAAGCTGGATGTGGGGGCATACACCTGTGATCCCAGAACGTGGTTAGGCTGAGGCAGGGGGGTTGCCTTGAGTTCGAGGCCAGCCTGAGCTACATAGTGTCTCCAAAAAACAACAACAATAATAATAGTACAAAGAATTCCTGTATTCCTACCATTCAGATTTAAGAATGGTTGGGCCGGGGATTTAGCTCAGTGGTTTTGCTGCCTGACGCGCAAGCGCAAGGAACCGAGTTCGATCCCCGGTACCCCCCCCGAAAAAAAAAATGGTTGACATTTCATCATATTCATTTTATCTCTACATTTTTATTTTCTTTTCCTGAACAACTTCCTAAGCTGCAGTCATCACACTGCTTCTCCCCTTCATGTTTAGCCTGCATTCATTAAGGACAAGGACATCCTCCTTCATAACCATAGTATCATTATCACTCCCAGGGAAATCAGCATCAATTCCCTACTGTGATTTTATGCCAGTCTCTGCCTGGGTCTGCAAGCTTTTCTGTAAAAGGCCCAGATAGTAAATATTTCAGGCTTTCAGGCCATGCAGTGTCTGTCACAACTATTCAGCCCTGTGTTTCTAACAGAAATGCCATAGACACCTTGCACACGAACGACCTGTGGCTGTATTCCAACAGTACTGTACAGAAACAAACAGCAGGCCTGATTAGGGCCCATGGGCCCCAGTCTGCTGACTCCTCCTCAAATCCATACTAAAATTTCCTTAATTCTTCCCCACAAAAGAAGTCTTTTTTTTTTTTTTTTTGGCAGTAGTGGGGATTGAACTCAGGACCTTGCGCTCGCAAGGCAGGCATGGTGCCACTGAACTAAATCCCCGGCTCAGAAGTCTATTTTTAAGAAGATAAGTTTTTAACTTTTTTTCTAATTTAATTTCAAGTTTTTAGATCTTCCTCTGTTTTATTTTATCTGGGGTGATTTGTAATCATCTACACAAGGGTTGAGAACAGGAGAAAAATTGTGCTATGCAGTTGCTTTGCTTTACAGATCTCTGGGATGAGATATAGTTTAAATGCTCTTCTGGGAGGATCACCATGAATTGAAGGCCAGGGCCACCATGAGCTACATAATGAGTTCAAAAAAAAACAAAAGAAAGAAAAGCAAAAGAAAAGAAATCCTCTGCTGTGGTTACAACATATGGGTCCTATTTCTTGTCAAGAAGTATTTGCTGCTGCTTGAAAGCAAATGGTTTTTGACAAACCATTCTCATTGCAAGACATGTCATGATGGCTGACCACAATATCATTTAACTCATCAGTGTGCATAAGAATTAGATAAAATAAATTGTACCCTTGGGGTTCTCTTCAGAGATGGAAGAAGTATTGCTGCTGTTGATGGTTAGTATGGTTAGTATTGTTTGAAGGTTCTTCCACAATTCCTCCCATTCCAATGTCAGTTCTGAGCAAACCACTTGAGGACTCCAGCACAAGTTTTCACAGTTCTCACTGACTCATAGAAGCCACTAGGGCAGGTCTAGATTTTGTCTAGTAAGTCAAGATTCTTCTGTAAGAGATAGAAAAGACCGAAATCTATTATAAGCCCCTCTGTACAGCTTTATTAATCATATGCACATGTTACTGTAAAAAAAATTATATACTGAGGTTAAGTTACATGGATTAATATACCAAGGTTAAATTAAATGGGTTTTTGTGGATTTTGAAAAGATAATGTTTAAGTAACCAACCAAGGTTGCTAAAAATGGGCTGGGCTGTAAGTAAGAGATAGAGCACTAGCTTATCCTGGACAAAGTCCTGAGTTCAATC